CTCTGCCATCCCACTTTCAAACTTCCTTGCCTTTCCTCCCTCCCTTCCACTCATTTCCTCATTCTTCCTTCTTCCTCCTCCTCACTCACTCACTCTGTCTCCCTCTGTTTTTCATCTCCACGAGAGGACACCCTTCTTAGCACTGCACATCCCACTTTCAAACTTCCTTGCCTTTCCTCCCTCCCTCTCTTCCACTTATTTCCTCATTCTTCCTTCCTCCTCCTCACTCACTCACTCTTTCTGTCTCACTCTGATTTTCATCTCCACGAGAGGACACCCTTCTTAGCACTGCACAGGACAAGTTCAAGAGGCAGAATTAATTTCAGCATATTAACTGCTGTGCTTCTCTTTTTGTATCCACCCACAGAGGAGACTGGAGGCCAGGCTGAGGAGGCTTAGGTGACCTTTCTCTCTCCAGGGCCATACAGGCATTTTTATCCCCATGATTTTACATGGTTCACCCTCATGGGGTTGCAGATGTCTTGTGTAAGGGTGTCCTGTCAAGTAACTAGAACCATCAAACTGTTGGGTTTGGGGCATGTTGTCTTTCTGGGTGAAACATCACACTTTTAGTTCTGGTCAGCTTTTGTGTTACAGATTTCCTGTGCCAACAAGCTTAGTAGTGCAAAATGTTTCCTCAAGAGACACTAGCAAGCATTCCTCCTTATTTTTAAGTAAAACATCATCTGTTGTCCAGTTTGCTATTTTATTACAAACTAAATAAACATAAAGACATGCTTTTATTCAAATGAAAAATTGATGATGAGTGATGATCATTGCTACAAGAAGAGTATTTTACTCTTAGCTCCTCCTAATAACTCTGGGACTCTCTCTCAAGAGGAGACTTTTTGCTTTATCCTGTTTATTTTCTTTTGTTTGCTTATGACTAACTGTCAAAGAGAGAGAGTGGGGAAGGGGGAAGAGCAATTTTCTGGAGCTAAGAACTTTCCCTGCTATTTCTTACAGTTTTGGGGAGTGATGTGTTGTCATTAATGGTATAAAACTTGTAATTTGTCACAGTAGACTTTACTGTCGCATGCCAGTGTTGTGTTGCTGTTGTGTGCTGCTTAGCAAGTTATGTCCTGCATCCATCTGCTCATATTTCATCTGATTTTTACTTAAGATACCCAGACAGCCAATCTGTAGTGAATGCAACTGCTGTATTTTGTATTTTAGATGCTGCAGATTGTCAGTAGCATTGCGTGAAAAAATCCATCCTTAATTGCATGATTAAATTGGCATTGGTTGTAATTTCTTGGAATTAGTCAAGCACGTGCACCAATATATTGATTGTAAGAAAAGAGTCAAGTGCTTATTTTTGATTGGATATTACTTCTTTCATGCCAAAATGTCAGAAAGTTTACACAGAAGGAATTACAGCAAATGCTCATAGTGCTGTGCCAAACCATATCAACACCATCCTGTCCACTCCAAATTATTGGTCACTAATATGAGGTTGGCCTGTTGCATTTCTGAATTCTACTTCAACTAAAGCTTGAAACCTGTGTACCTAGTGGGCTAAAAAATTGTTTTCACAGTCATGTTTATTTCTTTATCTTTTATTGCATCTGCTTACATGCCACTACTCTGTTCAATTCCTTTTTTAATTTTGTTTTAATGGAGAATCAGGCACACAGTGTGCAGCTCTAATCCAGCATGGAGAAAAACAAAAGTTACCTAGCACACTATTAAGTTAAAACTTAAAAACTCTTGAGTTTTAGTAGTGTGTTAGAAATCACTGCTAAATCATATCTAAATATTACATATCTTATGAAATCCTAATATTGTAAATGGCTGTGAATTGAAGAGGTGATAATGTGAAGCTCTTTAAATTGTACATATTTCTTCTAAGAACCTACACTGTTTTTTGAATATTTAGTAACATGTTTCCATGATTCACAAATAATCATCAGTAGTTCCATATTTCAAAATTCAGTTTTCAAATTCTGTACTTATAGTATGGCTTTCTTTTACTTTTTGATTTTTACTTTAGCTGTAGATATTTCTGAAGACATGCATTTTTTGTAGAGATGATTACAGTGCTATCAGTCAAGTCTGGCAGTTACATGACCTTACAAAAAAGATTAGTAAGAAAAAGAATTTACAAAGGAGAAAGGTTTAGCCATTGGTTTCCAATATTTCATTTGCACGTGTACCATGTGCAGTCGTTGTTTTCCTCAACAAGAAAGAGTAAGACCAGTTATACAATTGCACTGGATTGTTTTTTTAAAATATTTTTATAATCAAACTACCTAGATTTCATATGAATGATAAGATTCCTTTTCTATCTAAACCTAGTTACTGTTGAATAACCTGGAAGTTTTAGGGCTCTTTTTCTATTTTTTTTTTTAAATGTCCACTTCTTTCTTTCTCATCTGCAGTAATGAAATGCTCTTGGATGATAGCCAAGCCCTATATTGTTTTTGCTGAATTCTGTTATTTTCTAATCTTAGCATCAACGAGATCCTCGGCTCAATGAAATTTTATTTCCCTTTTATGACACAAAAAGAGCAATGCAGATAATTGAGACATATGAGCCAGATGAAGACCTGAAGAGCAAAGGTAAATGTGGGAATTCAGTATTGACTGGTTTTTAGACATTTGGGGAATTTCTTCCAAAGCATCCAAACTTTTAAAAGAGAGCTAACAGTCTTTGTGATTGGGGGCAAGTGCTTGTGTGGCAACCTAGTGGGCTACATCAGGAAACTGGTCTGCTGAAAAATATCTCCCCCCTCAAAAACAGTGGCTTTTTAGAAAGATTATTTTCAGGTTACAGTGTGGCTATGAAATGGGAGAGGCTAGGATTGAGGAAACAGGGAGCAACGTGGAAACTCCTTCTAGCAACAAGGCAACATCCATGTGGCATGGCCAAGGTCTCAGAGAGTGAGAGTTACTATGTGCACTGTCAGATGTGTGTCCACACTCATAATATAGCCTGTGTAGTGCTTGAGGGCAGCAGCCTAGCTTAGAACAGGGTATTTTATATAGATGGATTGAAAAACGTTCTCTCTGAGCAAGAAGATTGGAGGAGGTGTTTCCAAGCCATTCGTGGACTTATGTCCTGAGCTACTATGGGTATTGGAAGTGTCAGTGCTTGAACTTGGCTCCTGGTTCTTACCCATTCTTCTGAAATACCCGTGTTGGGATCAACTGCAGAAGTTAAAAATGTTGCTTTTCCCATCTTCCCTCCCTGCCCTTTCACTGGAAGTCACTGCAGCTTTGCAAAGCCTGTAGACCTTTGGCCATCCTAGCAGGAACCTACTTTCACTAGACATTTAGGCTAGTCTATCAGGCTGGCATTGGAGAAGCAGAGTAGCTTTACATATCCAGTAGTGCAGCTGTGCTGATGGGGAATGCACAGAGCAGATGACAGAAGGAGGCAATATCTTCAACTGCTTCAGCAAAGCATCTTTTTTTACTTTATTTTCAAGGAACTCATCTGTGATTCCTCTTGATGCCAGTATATTTTACAAATTTTCCAAAATGAAGAAGGTATAGTAACGTAGCTGCCAACTGCTTAGGATGGAAGGTGTAAAAACATGGATTATGAAAGCAGAAATTAATCTAGAACTGGAAAACCACATTCAGTAATTTGCAAAGAGGATTTTGTTAGCACCAAGCCATAGCAGGGGAATGATCCTGGCTTGTTCTTTTAGGCAATAATTGAATCTTGGCTAATTATTTAGCTTCTTTCTTTTGATTTATATTTCTGAAAAGTTTTGAATAAATGTGCTAAACCTACTGCGGGGACAGAGTTCTGGAGGCTAACAGCAGAGCAACAGTGTCCCCTTACAGTGTTCCTCCACTGATCATATTCACTGATGTGGATTTTATCCCAATGTAATCAGTAAAACAGAGATATTATTTCATATAACAATGTGTTGAATTTCAGCCTGTAAAGAAGGCAAGAATTTATCTCAGCAGTGGCTGTTCTCTGCAGTCTCTTTCCCCTTCTTAGATATAGCTTTGCTGTTGAGTAAAATAATTAAGCTTAACAGCTTTTTTTTCACCTAAATCATGTAGTTTAAGAAACAAGGCTGAGGTATAACAAGGCAGTAGCAATAAGCAACTGACTCTTCTTCACATCTCAGTAACAGGAGGAAGTAAAGCTGAACAGTTTAACACTGTGCAGTTCAGAAACTAGAGTCTGCTCAGAAACTGCAAACCCAAATTCTTCCACCTGCTCAGTGCATGTTAAAAATACAAAGGATGGTCTGTTGAGCACTCAGAGCTCTTAAGTTGCTCAAGTCTTAGCCATTGTTTGTCTAGAACCCAAGCCCAGCAGTGACTCTTTTCCACTAGACAGGTGAGGCTCAGAAGTGTGTATCACCTGAGATATTTTGTGCTGCTGCTTTTAAGTTCTCAGTGATCAATAAAAGAAAAACATTCTTAAAGTTGAAAATCCCATGTCACCCTCTTTCCTTTCCCCCATCTTCCAAAACTCAGGATCAGCTGAGAGGATTGGAATAAGATGTTCGAGAACAGTTCACCTCTGGCTGACACCAAGCACAGAAAATGTAAGCTCTAGCAGAGGATTTTTTCAGAAAGCAAGCAGCAGAATGAAAAGCAGGATTACTGGAGTTCTCTGTAAAAGAGAAAAGTTGTCTTAAACAGAATAAAAACAGGACTGTTTCAACCTGTGCCTTAGTAGCTGAGCGTTCCTACATGACTTTAGGGAAAGCAATCTCCAAATTAGTGTCAGATAACCATTCTCTGCAGTGACTCTTTGTGACTAATACTTTCTTCCCTACCCCAGATCATTTTTCAGTCTCTTGGCCACTTGGATATTGCAGTACTCATTATTCTTACCTTGTTTTCATTAAAATGTATCCCTTGGTTTACAATTTTTATACTTCATGAAGCACGTAACAGCAGAGAAATAAGAGAAAGGTGTTAGGAACTTTCTTTGTAAAGGAATAAGCCTGTATTTCAAACAGTAAACTTGGAGGTATCTGAGATTTTCCTAATGCTCTGGAAACAAACGTGTGCAGATGTTTTCAGATACACCTGAACTTATTGTTGTCAGCACAGAACAGTCTCTGCACATGCTGCAAGCTGGTTAACATCAATGTAGCAGAGCCAGGACAGGACTAACTATGGAAGAGGGGAGGAAGGTACCAGGGAAGACAGGTATAGGACAGCTCACCATTTCTGGCTCAAAAAAGTCCTAGAGCCAAAAATTGCTGGGAGCATTTTGGGCTGTCAGTGCTTACTTGCCTTCTTCACATCCTTTTGATGCCTTAGGTCTACTAACAGTGACTGCTGGCTATAGCATATGGACCTAGGTGGGCACATTTTTTTAATTCCCTTCTATTATTTGGGAACACAGTGGCAGATTTTGCACCAGTTGCTGGTTAGCTTGGAGCACTTGGAGCAGAGAGCTTCTTTTTGCTTGCAAAAGGCTGTGTAAACATAAGTTTTGTTCTAGGGGTCCTGCTCTGTGAGACAGAAACCTGCCTACTATAAATTTCCAGCAGTAATTTACTTTCTTCTTCCTTCTAGGTGTCATATCAAGTGATGGGTTTTGCAGATACTTGATGTCAGATGAAAATGCCCCTGTTTTCCTAGATCGTTTGGAATTATATCAAGAAATGGACCATCCTTTGGCTCATTATTTCATCAGTTCCTCTCACAATACGTATTTAACAGGCAGGCAGTTTGGTGGCAAGTCTTCGGTGGAGATGTACAGACAAGTGCTTTTGGCTGGATGCAGGTTGGAAGCAGGAGATAACAGCCATCAATATTTGTGAATCTGATACTTTAAACCTCCACAATATACCTTGGCAGTGATATATTATGTAATTGAATGTATAAATATATTATTGTGGTAAATAAAAATACACATATTTAAGACACAACTTTTTTCACCAAAAAAAGCCCAAACTTAAAAGACAGCAGAATGTAGGAATTGATGTCAGGAGAGAGTTTATGAGAAAGATAACAGAAGTTTGATCTCAAAATGACAACTGAAGAATTTCAGAGGGCTTTCTGCTTTGTCATTAAGATATTTATGTGAAAATGAGAATCAGTTTATGATTTCCTGCTTACTTTCTTGACATACTGGAATGTGTCGCAGTTAACTGAGTAAGAGGATAAATCAGAAGAGTGTTATGGTGCTAAAGCCACTATTGTTCAGGTGTAAATATATTAACCCACACTTACTCTATTTAAGGTAGTCTATCCAAATTTATAAAAGCAGGCTGAAATGTGATGCTTGAAAGGTATAGTGTAATGCCCAAAACTGCCTGAACTGAAACACCAAGGAAGCTGATGTAATCTTTCTTATCTCTTTAGATGTGTAGAGCTTGACTGTTGGGATGGCAAAGGTGAAGACCAAGAGCCAATAATAACACATGGAAAAGCAATGTGTACAGATATTCTTTTCAAGGTAAATGCCTGACCTCTACACCTGGCAGTGATCCCCAGTGGACAGGAGTCCATGCAGGGCACCCTCTCCATCTCAGCACCCAGATGCTGCTCCCTTGTAACAGACTGACAGGTTGTATAGGCATGGGACAGTATGTTCTGGTTTTTCACTTAGCACATCTGAAACTCAGCTCTGTGTGTCTCAGGGTGGGGTGGAGAACCAAAAAATCTTTTTCATTATGATCATAATCTGATCTGTTCTAATTTGAATCCTGTTATTGTGTTTTATAGGATGTAATTCAAGCCATTAAGGAAACAGCATTTGTTACATCAGAATATCCTGTCATTCTCTCCTTTGAAAATCATTGCAGGTATATGGTGCCTTTTTTTATTTTTTTTTAACAGTGCAATGTATAAGAGAGATGATACAGCTGAAAAATACTAGAATTTTTGAGTGTACTTGAAAACTGCATTAAGGATATACAGGTACACTGAATATCACTTGGAAAAGACTGTGATATACTGGTCAATCTTTGTCTAGCTTAGTAACAGCAATATTTTTATCTGTGGTAAAGCTGTGAAATATATTTGGATGTTCCATTTGCTCTGTGGGATTCAGTTAATCTACTTTTTTAGTTCTATTAAATTCATCCATGTCAGGTAATAGACTTTTATTGACAGTATAATTACAGTGAAGTAATACCTCTCAGCTGAGAGAAAGCGGGCAGTATAATTTGGGTTGTCTACATTATTTAATATCATTCTGTTTTGCTGCATAATAATGATTTCTTTTTCTATATTTAAAAATTAACCAACATAATCTTTTCTAGCAAATATCAACAGTACAAAATGTCAAAATACTGTGAAGATCTTTTTGGAGATCTCCTGTTGAAGCAGCCTCTAGAAACACATCCAGTATGTTATATTCTGCCAGTCTTTTTCTTCTGTTTTTTTTTTTTTAATATTAGCTGTATTTAAAAGAGATGATAAACTGGGATCATATCCCATATAGTGCTGTTCACTGCCAGTCCTGTGCTTTCAAAAATGACTAGTGATTTGGGGTGTCTGTGCTTTTTGGTACAAAGTTGCCCATATCTCCTTTGTTTAATCTCTTCTGTACAGGGCTCTGGCGAGCAGCCTGGGGAATTCCATCCCCTTGATGTGTAACGTAATATCAGCACCTGTATAAAAGACACCACATACATTGTATTTGTAGGTCATACCTAACTCTGAAATTGCCAGTCACTGTTGAAAACCAATTAATTATAAACTGCATGGTCTCAAATGAGGAAACCTCTTCTTTCAGCCACACTTTGCATGCTTTATGCTCCAGATCAGGTCCTGCAGTCTAGGTGGCCCCCACTGCTGCATTAAGAATTAAATTAAGCACAGAGAGTTCCCTGCAGTGTCATTTGGTCTGTCAAGTGCACTGTAATCTGCATGCACTTCACTCTCCTGTGTGGCAGGAGGTAATAACAGACACTCCTTCACGAGCACATATTGGAGACTTTAATAGCTTGTTACCCAGTGCTTGCAGCTACTCCTCCAGGCCTCCCTTACTCCTGAGCAACGTGCTCACTGTCTGCCAGCAGCCACCCAAAACCTGCAGATGCTCTTTAGTGCTGTGGGAGACCACAGCAAAGAGGACTCTGAGCAAAGGGGGCTCCTGGCATTATCATCTCTTGAGCTGTCCTTCTCTTGGCTTTCCTTGCATGTTGCAGGGACAGCAACACACAAGGCTTGGTGAATATCATCTGTTGCCCTGAGAAGTGCATCCCAGAGAACTAAATGTGTATGTCCTCTTGGAATATATTGAACACCTTGCCATGTTCCTCACAAATGACAGCTTCCAGCAGCTTCCAGGAAGCCTATAATAGAGCTGGTGAAAGGCTGCCATGCTGCTACATTAAGGCCTGGTATTTAGCCTCAGCTGCCTGTGCTCTGTAGCACTCCTGAGCCTTCTGCATTTTTCAGCCATTCCTCCTCGTGGGTAAATTCAGTCCCCAGCTGCTCACAAAGCAAATGTTGCAGAGATAGCAGGAGGAGTTTGAAACGTGTATTTTAGAAGCACTTGGTTTCTTGTACCTCTGTTAGTTGGCTGAGGAGGACACACTTAAGAGAGACAGGGCACTGGCTGAAGCAGATTTCATTTTTAAGTAAAAGCAAATATTTGTCCAGCTGGGCATTGAACTATGCCCTTGCTTTCAGACTGGCAGCCTGGAAGCCTGGGGATAAATGAGCTCTGCAGCACTGACATCTAGTGGAAATACAGCCCAAGTGCTCTCAGCAACAATTGTGTTTTCATCCAACATGCAGAAACTCTCATGACTGAGATAATCACTACTCTCCTGCAAGGAGGTTTGCATTGATTTGTTTGGAGTTGGTTAGTTGGTTGGCTTTTTCCCCCTGGATTTTTCTCACCTCTGCTGCTTTTATTTGGTTTCAAGTCGTGGTGCTTTATTTTTTTGTTTCTTCATCTAGAATGCTGCTTCTGTGTAGCTCAGAGTTGGATTTAAGGATAAGAATATCAATGTTTCTTCTAAGAATTTCTACTAGTCCTGGAAATATCTTTTACTCCTGTAACACTTACGGTTCACTGGAAACCACAGTCCTTTATGCTAGTAACTCCCTGCATAATATTCTTAGCAGCCCTGAGGTGGAGAGGATTCTGATTACAGTACCCAGATCTTTGTTTCTTAGCCTCACTGATGTGATGGGTTTTAACTCAGAGGATTTTGTACTTTTTCTCTTTTCTCACTATTTTTTCTCCTTCCCCAAACTGTAACAAACCTTTTAGTAGTTCTTCCTTGTGAAAACTTGCCACTTGCCTTTCACAGACACTGAAGATGTGACCTCGTAGCCTTACTGGCAAACCCAGTCCTCATTATCCAGCTAAGGACTGAGTAGTTTTCTGTTCTACCAGTGCCAGCCCGCTTCTGCTCTGTAGGGGTGGGTGTGTGCTGCCTCACTTGCATTATTACAGCCTGAAGGGACCATAAAAGGTGACTTATTTAGAGATCAGATGATAAAGGGCTAAACTGTGACTTGGACTGTGTGTGAAGCACAGGGAGAGAGGGAAGGTAGGAAGTCCTCTGATGAGAAGTTGCAGGTCCACAGTGCCCACTGCTAGCCAGGAAAGAGGGGAAGGCATTTTGACCAGTTCAGCTAAGGGTGGTTTAGGCTGAAGACTAATGTGCTGGCTTTAGCCAGAAACGTCTACCTGAGCACAGCTTTCCTGTGGGATAGGGAAGGAGAGGAGACAACATTACTGCAGTTACACTACCTCCCAGGGTTGTGCCTGAGGTGGCACTGCTTGTTCACTGCCCCTTACCATTGCTGTCTTAAAGTCAAAATCCCAAACAGGGATACAAAGAGGCCTAATAGCTTTTATTAAGCTTTTTCTTTAAATTATTTTACAGCTTGATCCAGGAAAAGCCTTACCTTCTCCTAATGACCTCAAAAGAAAGATTCTCATAAAGAATAAAAGACTGAAACCTGAAGTAGAAAAAAGTAAGTAAATCTTGTCAGGTATTAAATGAAGCAAAAGTCTAGACTGGTACAAATAGAGTTTGTTACTAAAGTTTCCAAATTGCTTGTACTTTAGTATTGGGAGAATATGAATTGCATGTAAATGACACTTTCTTTGCCCTTGTGTTTGTGTGAGTGATATCAGCACGTAGCATAGGCACAGGCAGACCTAGAAATGTGAGCCTGGGACTTTCATCAGATAGCTCGTCGAGCTAAAATATAAAGCAGATAGAATCTCTTGTAAATTCTGCCTACACTGCTATGTTTGCATTGCTGAGTTTTTCTAGGATAAACATAAAGCAAAATGGAATTTCAAATTGCTCTTCTTGCTATTGTTGCCAGTCCTGATATTTATCTTCTTTCAGCAATGATGATATTGCTATATTAGTTTCCAGTCTGGCTGTAGTGATAAACCCTGATCCTCTTCCCTTAGAAGATAAGCATGCAGACCTGCCACTGACTTCAGTCATACATGACTGTGTTCATACTGTCTAACCAAAGTGCACAGGGGAACACAATTGAAAATCCAAGCACTTTGCCTCCATTTCTGTAGGTCAAGCACCAAAGAGATAGCTGTCTATTCTTTAAAGAAGTAATATACTTGCTCCAAAGACCTTTGAAGTCTGTGGTAGTATTTTTCTTAACTTCAGTGAGCTTTGACCACAGCCCTTACTGACCACTTTTCAGATCTAACAACAGTGTGTGTCTAATGATGCTCTTGCTCTGTAAAATCTAATTGCTAACTGCAAACTTAGAGAACTCATTAAATAAAAGTAGCTCTTGGGATCAGAGAATCATTTATGATTGTTCTCATGTATTTTTTTTTGTACTACAAGCACTTCATGCCACGAGTAATTTATTTTTATTTTTCTTATTAACAGAACAGCTTGATGCTCTGAAAAAGATGATGGAGGCTGGAGAAACTGCTGCTCCTGTAAATATCCTAGAGGATGATAATGAAGAAGAAATAGAGAGTGGTGAGGATTTCATTAGAGGGGCTCTCAGACATTGCCTGTGGTAAATCAGTAGGCTGCCATGAGCAGCTAGTGGGCACATTACTCATGTGCTTGTGGTCTGTGGCAGTAACAGTAAGGGCTCAGTGCAGGAGCATTTGCACAGACCCCTGGCCTTACCATCTCATCTCAAATACATAGCACAGCTGCTCCTGCCTCTGTGGTAGGAACGTGAGCTCAGTTGGTGGTACTGATGGTCATTTTACCTTCCACTTGCTGCTCAGAAGTCATCCTGAAGCAACAACTAAGTCAGATTTTCACTGTGCTTATGAATGTATGTGAGAGACTATGATCTTTGCTTTGAAAACAGATTTTATCACTATTTTTAATACTTGTGTAAACATCAGATTGGATTACTGCATTATGCTTTATAAGGATAAAACGAGGGATAGGATTTCTTTTGCCAAACTTCAGATATCTTCAGTGTAAACATCTAGATATGAGCCAGTGATGTGGAATGTGTTTATGGCCATCAGAGAAAAACAGACATATCTAGGGTGTGATTCACCTTGTCAGTTTTCAATGTCTACCTTCAACAGAGGCAAATCATGCATTGCCTGCAAGCATCTGAACCAGGATAACAGGCCTGTGACCCGTGTCACACTGAATGTCCCAGCTTTAGCCTGCCCCTTGGTCATCTCCTTGATTTATTTTATTTTTCACATTTATTTTACCAGCACAAAGCCACTGCTATTGCAGTCAGTAGAGGTCTTCATACAAGATAGTCTTTGTGGTCCAAATCTTGCAAATCTGTCCTTGCATTGCTAAAAAAAGACCAAAGTACAACAACTTTTTGGAGAGGCCTCTCAGTATCTTTAGTTAGGTGATCAAGGAGCACAGAGGAGGTTCTGTTGTTTTACAGGCTGATGTGCATTGGAATGCTTATTTCAAATAGTATTCTTATTGGGCTGTGCTATTAATTGTGTGCTAGACTACCAAGAGGCTCAAATAAATATTTTCTGAAATAGTTTAAATCCATATGAATAATATGATTAATGGGTTTGTGTCTGTAAAAGGACTTTTTAGCTTCTTTGAGTACTCTAGGTCCTCACAGAAAATCACCTTAAAAGCAAACAAAAAAGATTCCCTATAGTAGAGGCAGATGAGGAGACTCAACAATGCATGAGAAGTCTGGACACTGGCAACATTTACATTTGTATTTAAACAACTTTGTCTTCATTTGTTGTTATTTTCCCAAGCCTATTGGGGTTTTTTTTTTAAACTTCTGCTAAGCAAATTACTGATTCCTTCAAAAATATGGTAAATAAAATTTCACTTACTAATCGTGTCAAAGAGGAGACTCAACAATGCATGAGAAGTCTGGACACTGGCAACATTTACATTTGTATTTAAACAACTCTGTCTTCATTTCTTGTTATTTTCCCAAGCCTGTTGGGGTTTTTTTTCACACTTCTGCTAAGCAAATTGCTGATTCCTTCAAAGATATGGTAAATCAATTCACTTACTAATTGTGTCAAAGCTGTAAGAATCTCAGGCTTTAGCTGTAATTTACTACTAATGATTAGAAAGCTAATAACCTGGATTTTATTTCTGTTTTAAAATAATACCAAAGCCAAACCTGTGTATTGAACAAAACAAGTGTCATTTGTTTCATGTCTCATGCAAACCTGACAGTTGCTGTGCTTTTTACACTGATCATTTTTCTTTTCTGTGCAGCTGACCAAGAAGAGGAAGCTCATCCAGAGTACAAATTTGGAAGTGACCTTACTGTAGATGATTACAGTCAAAAAGAAGCTGTTGCCATCAGTGTCAAAAAGGTGGGATTGCTTCTTAAATATATTTCTTGGGAAGCTTTCCATGGAGGTGGGTGTAAAAGCCCCTCTGTTTTTGGAAGCATCATAGCACATGTTGTTAGAAGCCTCAAACTCAAGAGCTTCACCAGATTCCTAATCTTTAGGTTCACAGGAGGACAAAATTTTGTAGTGAATAATACTTTCTGCTTGTTCAAGCACAATACTCAATTGAGGAAATAGAATTAAACAGCATACAAGTGAAGGATTTGATGACATAATTAAAGGCAGTAAAGCAAGCTCCTGCCTCTGATGTTCTGCTTTGCATCTCAGTTGCAGAGCCCTCATATGAGGTGGACTATCAGCTTCCTCACCCAGCAGTGTTTTTTTGCAAGGCTGCATCCTGTGTCTTCACTACAAGGATACTCTGGGTCATTTCTTATTATCTAAGGGTAAATACTTCCTTCCACCTACAGCAATGAAGACAGAATAGTTTGATCATTCCCCAGTGGGGTGGTGTTGCAGTGGGGCTCTAAGAGTCCCCTTTATTCCACTCATACCTCATTTCATACAGTTTATCAGCCTGTGCTCAGTAACTTGAATATTGCTTGATGGTAATTAGATACAGAATATTGGAATTCCAAGCTAAGCCTGCCTGGCACTGAAGGCATTATTGCTGCTTGCAACAGAAAAAGCACATCTGGGAGCTAAGGTACCTGATCAGATCATGCTCCATTATCACTTAAATATTTTGGCCACTACTCTTCTGCCAGGCTACCTTTGGATCTTACTGCAGATACAAGTATAGGTGTGGAAAGCCTTTCATAGTACAGGTTGCCCTTGGCAGTATGTCTCCAGCAGTATCACTGAGACAACAGGATGCCTTCTTGGTCTCTTCAAGTCAACATCTTTGCTTCTTCAGGACTTTTATGAAGCCTTCTACTGAAGTGACTTTTAACTTTGCTCTAGGGCTGGTTTCACTTGCTAAGTCAGCTGGTCCTTCACCACCTGAGTGTTTTGGGCTTTGTTTGGTTTTTGGTTGTGGGTTGTTTGGGGTTTTGGTGGTTGTTTTTTTTGTTTTAGATTATTCACTCATCCTCAGCATATGCCCTTGGATAACTTCTGCTTCTTTGCTGATCAGTGACTTGATCTTTATCCTTCAGGAATGTACATTCAGTGCCAAGTCAACATTTATCTGTCTGAGATTCTCAGTAGTGGCAGCTTGTAACAAACTGTCCCATGGCAAATAACATCTTGAGACAGACCTTTTCCAAATGTGGACATTCAGAGTACAGTTTACAGCAGCCTTAACCCTTGAGTTTTCAGAGCCTGGGCAGGTTGCATATGCAGATCTAAAGATCTTTTGTATTGTCTGAGTGTGTGAGTCTTTCATTCTTCTCTGAAACTTCCTGTCCTCAGCAGCTAGTGATAGAAGTGAGTTTGGCTTAACTGTCCAGCATCCTCCCTCCTATTCTCATTGCGAGCCAGCTGTTGAATTTTGTATCTTTTGTACCCAGATTTGAAAGTAATTGCAAATTTTTGCAAGTGTATGGGACAGATGAGGCACACAGGAAGGTGGAAAAGGGTGTACTTTTTGCTTAATGCATTAATTTTTTGAGGATTTTTTTTTCCTTACTGTTTCCTATTGCTTTTTCTTTGGGTAATTTATATATATTTTTTTCCCTTAGGCTGTTGAAGATTCTGAGCAAGAAAACAGTAAAAAGGTGACACATAGGATGTTATGTAGTTTATTTTATTGCTTTATATATAACATACATTTTACTTCTCATGCATTCTTCGAGCTTTAACAATTTTATTCTCAGTTTCACTCCACCTACAGAGTAATTTTGCAAATGACTCTACCTCCTTTTGCCTTTTAGGGTTTCTTCTGCTGTACTTTTATACTGGGGTTAGGGCTCTTAAGATCCGGGGACAGTTAGGAGTGCATGACTTTTGCCTGCTTAGAAGTGTCTGATCTCAGTCTCAACTGTCATGCACTGGGAAACAGCAGTTCTTTGAATGGTGTTGCGATGTATCACCCCTGCTCCTTTTTTTCCTCTTCCCTTACCCTGACCACACTTTGTTTTCCTCTCTTTTTTCTTCCTTTTGCTTTCCCTTGGGACTTCTGCATTTATCTTCTCCCAGGAATCCCTTCTGTAAGACTCTTCCCACCTCCTTCCACTCTCCTCCTCCTTCTCTTCTCTCATTAAAGCTGCTCCTGTTCCTAACCACACTTTGTTTCAGTCTATGTTGTTTTCTAAGTGGGTTCTGCTTCGTTTCCTAAAGGTGGGGAGGTGTAAATAATGTAGAGATCAACTTTCCCCCATTGTTTTCTCTAGCCCTAAAAGGGTCATGTGCTGTTGTAAACATTCCCTTGTTTCTGTAGGCTGTAAGAAACATTCCATCCTTAGCCCTAATTCATACTTTTAAAGTTGTGGACACTGCAAAGTATAGCCCATTTACTATAAAAATTATGGATTTGCAAGTAAGAAAGATAAAATCATTAAAACATTGTTTTAGAGCTAGTGTCACTAACAAATCCATACAGCTACAGTCTGCAGGGTCCTATTGCCTTGTCACTGAGGCATCTGTAATCCCCTTTGACTTCCTTTTCACTGTGATTCATCACTTAGACACAGAAGTAATAGTATAGGAGAGTAAAGTATGGATAACAAATCTCAGCAGTCAGCAAGAGGCAGAGTGAAGTAGCCTAGTTTTTAGAAGATAGGTGGTCAGTTCTTCCTGAATTACTGGCCTTCCAAAAATGTAGACACTGAAAAGAACTAGTTCCTTTGATGAAATTTGGCCTTAGTTTGTTCTGAATTCTATTAACAAGTATTGACCTAGTGACAAAAAGATGCCTGTATCCTACTAATAAAGGGATGTACCATTTGGCATAGTTAGGGAACAGATCTGTGAACTCTCAATGTGTGGATTCCTGAAAAGAAGTTCTATTGACCCCTGGTGATCAGCATTAAAATGTGGTGTCAGTTTGATTCAGTCTAAAATACACAGAACAGTGTGTACCTGAATTCATTCTGATCACTCAGCTATTCTGTGCTGGCAGAAAATTACATTCCTTGTAACTTTACGTGTTTATCAAGGCATAAATTGTTTCATTTCACACAGAGTTCATTTATTGACATGTCTGCACTATCTGGCCAGTAGAGGTACATGTCCATAATTCTGGGAAGTAGTTTCACCTTTTCTTTAATCACCCATCTGAGTAAATGAGATGCAGTGGTGTAGGTTCTGTGAACTGCATTCATCTTCCATGAGAAAGGGCTTTGCAGTGCTTCATGTTAATATTTCCCCATACAAGAGTGAAGGAGAACTTTCTGACAAACGTGGGTTGCATGCTGAAAATCAGAACCTCTACTGTAAGAATTCAGCCTACGATAGGTTAGATTTTTGGTAGCTGGTTCACTGGTAAAAGAGCAAGCAGTAATGTTTGTGGGGAAAATGCCATGAACAGTAAGCCTTGCAGAGTCTGCCTAGATTGACAGAGATCTTTATTTTTTTTTCCTTTCAGTGAAAAGAATGTGTTTCAAACTGGTTTAGGGAAAGGAAAAAGCTGGAGAGGTAGATCCACATGAGAAGTGCTTCCTGTTGTGGGTTTTTGGCAGATGAGATACTCACAGAAAACTTTTGAACTTCTAGCCTGTCTTTATGTGAATGATGCATTCAGATTTTTGTCAGTTTAAGTGGCTAGGAATACGAGCTTAGTATTGTCTCTCTTGTTGGTCTTGTGACATCTGTTTGTCCAGTTAAGGTTGTAATCCCTATATTTTGGTCTGCTTTTGTTAGTCAAGAGTAGCAATTGAACCTATCTGTGTTTGGATATTGATAAAGTTCTACTCAGTACCAAGTATGCACTACTACACCACAGTTGCCACCAGAAAATGTACATTAAATCACAATTCTCATTAATTTATTTGACAAAGACAGATCATTCTCTCCCACCATTGTTCAGTCTGTTGTACTATTTATCTTGACCTTACTAACACCATGTAATATTTAACCACTGCTAAAGAGTTTTTCTGTCATCAGTCCTCTTGCATGCATCCTGTAACATTGAGAGTGTTTGGTGCATATATCAACAAAAAATAAATCTTAACTTGTGACATCAAATTTCCACTTTTCTTGTATTAATTTGCACTTTCTTTAACTTTCTGCAGATTTGGGTATAAGTTTGTTTCGCACTTGAAAATTCCAACAATAGTGTTTGCACACACAAATAGTGATTATCCTTTTTTAATGTGTTTTCAGGGTTTAGTAACTGTTGAAGATGAACAAGCGTGGATGGCATCTTACAAATATGTAGGTGCCACAACCAATATACATCCATATTTATCAACAATGGTCAACTATGCTCAACCTGTAAAATTTCAAGGTTTCGATGTAGCAGAAGGTAACATAAAAGGTTGAATGAAATAAAAGTATTTGTCTGCTTAGTCTAGGTATTTTTTTTTAATCTCTACATTTCCTGAATTTAGAGATGGCATAAGACTTTCATAGTTTAAAGACCATCAGTATATTTTTAGATCTGTTTCCTTGAATGTAAAGGTAGCATGTTATTCCATTGGCCATCCACATGGAGTCACTAAATTACTGTGGGAACGTGAAGCTGTTGAGGGTGTTTATATTCTATAGGCCTTTCCAACTGAACGACTCTTTTTAGTTTATTTTTCTGTGAAGTAAGGTGAGCCTGATTGTCCCAGTGGTCAGCAGTTAGCAGATGCTTTCATATTGCAGTAGACCATTTATCATGTTGTTTTGCCTTATCTAGCCACACAGCACAGCCCCTGAATAACAATTTTGTCCTAGACAAAACCAGAAAGTTTTGTCGATTACCCAGGAATTGAAAGAAAGAAGCAAGTCAGAAATATTATGAAATTCCTCTTGAGTACAGAGTGACACATAATGGGGCAACAGAGCAGAATTTGCTATATCCTGCTATTACGTACAGTGCATGGTTTTGAATTTGTGGTTTAAAATGTCTTGTCTTTTCTTTCTAGAACGCAATATTCATCATAATATGTCCTCTTTCAACGAATCAGTCGGCCTAGGGTATTTGAAGACCCATGCCATTGAGTTTGTGAAGTATCCTTTCACCTCCTCATACCACTTCTCTCCTCATGCTACAAATAAACAAGTGTACCACCTTAGATTTAGTGGTCCCTGTCTAGAAAAGAAAAGGGAATTGTAACTCATGAGATGAGAAACGGTCAGATTAATGTAAGAAATATTGAAGATACCAGGGGTATGACGATAGATTTCTATGATTTTCTTTTATTTTCCTTGATGAATTATACAGTTATAATAAACGACAAATGAGTCGGATATACCCAAAGGGAGGCCGAGTGGATTCCAGTAATTACATGCCTCAAATTTTCTGGAACGCTGGCTGCCAGATGGTCTCCCTGAACTATCAGACCCCAGGTAGGCAGCAACAACCAGTGAACCTCAATCCTAAAGAATGGCTTGGGCAGTAGCTCTCAAACAGATGCCCTGGATTTCCTTCTGGCATTTTTGGAGGAAACGGACATATGGCTAAACAATACAGTGGGGTGGAACTATGGAAGCATAAGACAAGGAGCAATAAAAAAGATGTACATAGAAGGAAAATGCTGGCCCCTTTCATGGAAAAATGAGTGCTGTAACTTCTCCACGAAATGTTTTATTAAGAAAAAGCCTTAATTAGAGGGAAATGACTCTTTTCACAAAGCACAGCTTTGGCACAGTTTGGCACGTGGCTGCAAAGTGAAGATGGAGCGTAGAAAAAAAGATGGTGAAAAGTTGTGTGCTCAATGCATTTGTAGAGCAGTTTTTGGGAGATGTTAGAGAGTCACATGTTCAGCATCAGAGAATGGGGTCTGAGACCCCAGCTGAGAGAATGATGCCAGGGAATATAAATGCCTCCACACAGCATAAACTGAGAGGAGATGTATTCTTCCTGTTCAGTGAAGGTGGGAATATTGTGGTGTAGCTGGAAATCTGCAGGAAAACATCTTCTTTTGTACAAAGTTTGGGAGAGGGTTGGATGGGGAGGGGGGTTGTTGTGTTTACTATCTGTCTTTATATACAAGTGCCATAACAATTAATTGAATAAAACTCGGACGCTTTAAATGTTGAAACATTTGATGTGATAAAGCAGTGCTGCTGTGATCTTTGTGGGTTCTTTTTGTGGTATTTCAGTCAATTAATCCTATCTAAAAACAGTGTGAAGGTCATTTCCCTTTCCTTAAGACATCAGGCTACCAGCAGCTTCATCGGAGGTAGTTTCATATGGTCATTTTAGAGAAATACATACTTCTAGAATGTCTCATCTAATATATTTTGTCTGCCTTAGGCTGAGATTAGTTGTACTGTTAAAATACCTGTGTCCCTCCATTATTCAGAGTGATCCTAGATCATGGGCAGAAATGGAGGCATCGATACTATAGGTACCAGATGTTAGATGATGGAAATCCCATCTCAGGCACCTAATATGACCACAGTCTGATACTTCTCTGCCTACTGAGTGTGTTTGAATTCAGGGAGACACTTTTTTCTAAGCACAGCGTAGACTTCAGCTTGGTTGATAAAGCTGGTACTCCTGTGAAGAAATCTGAAGTTGCCCCATTACTTCCTTTTATTTCTTAGATGTGTGTATTTTATATGCATTAACTTTAATTTTTATTTAAACTGCTTGTTCTGAACAGTTTTATTTTCTTTCCTAAAAAGGATTGTTTTCTGGATTTTCAGAAGGAAACAGTAATTTTTTTTCCCTCTTGACAGATTTAGCAATGCAGTTGAATCAAGGAAAATTTGAATATAATGGATCATGCGGGTGAGTGATATGAGTTAAACTGTTGTCAATCTGTAACAGAATCCTTTACTGTGCTTTTAATGGCATTTTGTCACTATTAGTTTTGTGTTACAAAAGAAAAATGGGATGCTAGCTGAAGAGCAAAGTTCAGGGAAAATTATCCCCTGCAAGGAGGTATTCTGATGAATAAGCTTTTTAATTATGCCCATTTTTTAAGGATGAGATAGAAGAGGCTTTGTGTGCAGATTATGAACATGATGAATACCATACACAGTTATTTAAATACATCTTCAGCTTCTGTTCTCAACCTTTCTTTGAAGAGATGCCTCAGAATGGAGATTCAGTGTATGGTTCATGGATTTCCAAATTTACTTGGACGTGTTGAGTCTTAATTTATAGGGAACATTTTTTAAATCTGTGTACTGTAGCTGAAGAGCAGATTTCACAGAGAATAGTAAAGTCTTTCTCTAAGTTCTTGGTCATGACTTTTGCATGAAAAAGGATGCTCAAGTGATGTTGATAGCTATTTCTCAAATGTTGACAATACCTTAAGAGGATAGACTGATCATTAACATCAAGAGAAAGGAGAAGTTTGATGGATTATAGGAAATGACAGTCCAGAAACACATTAAAATCTGCAAACTCATCCTGGGAAGAAAAAAAAAACCTCCTGTACTAACACAAATCTTATTCAGAAAGAGAAATCTGAGTAGATGAGGCTTGGTGAAATTCCTCATCTGCAGAAAGGTTGGCACAGTGCTTTGCCACTCTGATTTTCATTTTTTTTTGTTATGGCAGAGTATAGTTCCTTTCTTGTTTGATGAACAAGCCTAGTAAAAGAGAAGCTGTTTACTCTTGCCTGTCCTTCAGAGAATTTGGCATCATTATCAACTAAATTCTTTGATTCTTATGTCAGTTGTCAGGTATTACATTAATATTGTGGTGATGCATTGTAATATAGTGATAATATTTTGATATCCATTATAAATGTAGTGTTGTTTCAGTCACAGAAAACATGCAGGGCAATGAAAATAAAAACTTACATTTCCTTCTCTCAGGACTTCTTCAGCATTTCTTTTATTTCAGTAGAATGGATGCAGAGGCTAAGAATGTTTCTGATGGTTCCCTTCTGCCCATAATCCACTTAAAATGAATAAAATGTAATGAAATCACATTTATAATGTAAGAAAAATGAGGAATATTACTTTCCTAAACAGAAGCAGTGTTACAAAAAAATGGGAGAAAACATTGACATTCTTTCTGTTGGAATTTTTCCAGCATTTTTTAATTATTTCTGAATTCTGTCTAGGCCTTTATAACATTGTGTGCCAGTGATTCACCAGAGAGACCAAGAGTGGATAAAAAAAATAAAAATAAAATCTTCTAGTAGCTGAATCAGCTGCAGACTTAGCAAGATGACTTCTATATGACCAGTGGAAGAGAACCCCTGTCATGTATAGCACAGCATTTCTGCCAACAGCTGTTTCATTTTGATGGCAGAATCCTTAGGTTTTGATTCATCAGAGCACGTATTGGCTTCATTGATATGTTCATCCAGTGTGTAGTCCTCAGGGAGGTATTGTAAGTGTTATTATGGTAGTACCTTTCATGCTACTATAATTAACAATCTGTCAGCACTGACATTATCAGCTGTTTCCCCTAAGGTTTTATAACTCAGATGAAAAAATTACCTTCAAGCTGAAATTTATTCTATGAGTCTTAACTCCATGGAACTGCTTCATTTAAAAAAAAAAATAAAACTGAATAATTTTCTATTGTTCCAAAGTATAATCAAAACAAATGAGAGCATCTACTTTTTGTTATTTGATAACTCTCTGTATTTTTAAAATCTATTATTAAATTATTTTTGGCATCCATTATATTACATTTACTTTCATTTTTAAATCTAGGGTTGGTTTCATCTTTCAGTAGCTGGTATTTGAAAATTCAGTTTAACACTTCTGTATATTCCAGGCAACTGTAATGTTTCCTCACACTTGCAGATAGAATGGTAATCTGTATTTTATAGAGCTCTAGGAGAGTTCATTGGCTACAGCTAGAACATCCATTTTTTTTTAGTATTTAGTAGAAATTTAATGTCCACAGGAATAATTTTGTTCTTTTATTTGAATAAGGTATCTCCTTAAACCAGATTTCATGCGACGACCAGATCGAACGTTTGACCCTTTCTCTGAAACTCCTGTAGATGGTGTAATTGCTGCAACATGCTCAGTCCAGGTAAAAGCAGTACACAAACTTCTGTCATCTGGCCACAATCAAGATCACTTTTAAATGCCAATAAAAAATCAGTTTGGATTTTGTGGATTTTATCCAATCGTTTCCAGCGGTTTGTTTTCTTTTGTTGCTTTTGTTTGTTTGTTTCTTTTTGTTTGGTTGGTTTGGGGTTTTTTTGTGTTTGTTTGTTTTTTTTTTTTTATTTGGGTTTTTATTGCTGGCTGCAACATCTGTGTTTATTTGATCTGAGTGGAACATGATAGAATTAGAAATGGTTTTTAACCCCTCTGATGTTCTTTTTGGTTAAATTAGCACTCACAAATGAATAAATGAGTGAAATTCCAGTATTAAATTATACAAACCTCACTTGTCACCATAGAGCAAGGAGGAGTATGGGCACATGTGGACAGGTTATTTTCAGAAGAAATAGAGAAAAATGGTTCTTATGATGGAAGACCTTCTTTTGGAGTTATCTATGTGTAACAATGTCCATAAAACTTGCATGTGGACAGGTTATTTTCAGAAGAAACAGAGAAAAATGGTTCTTGTGATGGAAGTCCTTCTTTTGGAGTTATCTATGCGTAACAATGTCCATAAAACTCCTGTTGTAGTTCTAAAGCATGATTAGTTACCCAGTTTTGGAAAGAAGGCAGTTGTAAAACGTGTCTTGTTACTTGACACTCTCTTTCCTCAACTAGCCTACCTGCAGCTTAACAGAGGACTTAAGCTTCCAACTATCCCTTTCTATGTCCAGCATGGAAATTTCAAACTCTGCCTGACCAAGGATTCATTGTCCACTCTAGACAATTAAGTTTTATTTGGAGTATTAAATTAAATTTTACTTGGAGTAAAATTGAAACAAATCTACATGTATAATATAGAGGAGTTGGGTGGTTTTTTTGTTTGCTTTTTAAGCACCTTACATTTCCCAGGCATGTAATATGGAGTTAGACTGACATGTGATTAGCTGAAAGCCTTTACCTGAGTGAAAGCAGAGCAGTAGATTCCTTTCACCTCTTTATATTCCAGACATGGGATAGGTGACAGTGCTTCCAAACAGAAAGTTCAAAGTTATGGGATAGCAGTGCCCAGTCTGGGTGTTCCATTCAGTGTTTTTCAGTAATACAGTGGTTGCATCAGGGAGACATCAGCTAATTGGGCTGCAAATTCAGGCTATATGTAAGGTTTTACTACAAACACTTTCCTAAAGAAATGCAATTTTAGCACTAAGTATCCTTGTTTTCATATGGTAAAATAAATACCTGTTCTGTATAAAGCACTTTTCAGACTGCTGTCAATTAAAAATTTAAAAAAAAAAAATTAAACCCCAATATTTCTAGTATTCCTAAAACACTGTGTACTTTATATTGCTGGTGTTGTCTGGACTGCTTTCCCTTACTGCTCTGTTATTGTGTGGCAGGTGATATCTGGTCAGTTCTTGTCAGACAAGAAGATTGGCACCTATGTGGAGGTGGATATGTACGGGCTGCCCACGGACACCATACGGAAAGAGTTCCGGACCCGCATGGTGATGAACAACGGGCTGAACCCTGTTTACAATGAGGAATCATTTGTGTTTCGGAAGGTAGGAGATGTGGAAAGCACACTTGGTGGTTGCCAACCCTCTCACACATGGGCATCCTTGCTCGCTTGAGCCACCCCTCCCCGCTTCGGTGCAAAAGGGTTTGTAGGGCTCCTTTTGACTACAGTAAACAATCTGAAGCTGAAATAAGCTTGCCAGAGGTTGTTTGGGTTTGTTTTTGATTTTTTTTTTTTTTAATTTTTGCTTTGTTTTGTTCTTCTAATGGCTAACCTCTGTAGCTGTCACATGATTTTCTTTTATTTGTTTGTTTCTGTTTGGCTTTTCCCTCCCCTTTGCTTCCTCCTCCCACTTGGAGGTAGCCACCTCTTCCATGGCCATGCCTGTGTTCAAGGTATGCAGTCTGCTCAGAATGAGCCCCCGCTGATGGACACCATCATTCCTTGGAGATTTCTTCTTCCCTGCCCTGGCAGTGGCTGCTATCTTGCACTGTTCCTTCAGCCCAGAGGGCAGGTGAGATGCTGCATCCAAAGCTAAGGTCAATGTCATTACATGGAAAAGTTGGAAGGGTGCTGTGTTCCTCAGACGTGTTGCCAGCTCCCTCCTTCAGTAGTCCATGTGCATCATGTACCTTTTTCATCATGTTTTTTTGATTACAAAAGTGAAACAAACCTTTTTTTTTTGTTGGTATGGGGATTTAAAGAGAGAGATCAATCATCTGTGTTCCATTTTTATCTCTCAGTCTTTATATATATATGATACACATATATATTTTTTTTAATTTTTATTCTGTTGGGTGGAGTTTCATCCAGACTATGTGTGTTAGCAGTGCTGTCTTTGATAATGTCTCTTTTGCTTGTTTGTCATGCAAAACTGTTGCTCTTTTATTCCAAAGTCACAGACTTTGCCAAGTGGTGCCAACACTTCACACTTGGGTATATTACATACAGAATTTGCTTCCTTAAAAGTATAATCAGTTTTTAATAGAAATGTAGTTAATGCAAGAGTTTTTTCTGGACTCAGTTATAGTCTGGAATGAATGTCACTTTATGTGCTTGTCTCTTTATATGGGGAGGCACAGGGAAGATGCTTAGGTACAGTGACAGGCAATCATGCTGTCCATGGCTTGCTGGCCATATGGCCAGCATCTGCTGCTATCTGATTTCTTAAATCAGAAGGCTCATGAACTACAGGGTACACACAGCTTCAGTCTAAAAGGGGGGTACCTGTATGGAATGACATGGGTACACTGGCTGATGGCAGTATTCCTTGGACTTTCTCCTCTACTCAGCAATCAACAGTTGCATGGTCACACTTTCTCTTGAATAACTCATGCTGTAAGTCATCCAAGAGATCATTTTTCTTCAACTCAGGCCCTTATCATATATTTGCTTTAGCATTGGCATCAAGACATCCATTGATGACCAAGTAAATGAGTGTCAGAAACACAGCAGGAACAACTCCTCTGGTTGAAAGACATGAAAATGTGGGGTGCCTAGTGCTAAAATGTCTTGAAGGTGCAAGTGCCTACCAGGATACCACAGAACAAAGTAATGGATAGGGAACTATAAGCTTCTTAGTTCCCACTCCTGCTCCCTAGCAAATCTGTATCTGAACCCATCATGTAATGAAAAGTGTGCTAGTCTGTGGCCTGTAGAGGAGAGATCTTACCTGCCCTGTTTGGGTTACAGTATTCTCCTCAAGCTGATGGTTAATCCTACACAGTTACTCTCAGGTAATGTGTTTAATTGTTCTTCTGTCATGTTCTTTTGTTTTTATTTTAACTGAAATAAAGCTTCAGTCATTCTAACTCAAGTTTTGTGTTGTCACTCTGTTGTGTAAGGGGGAGGATGGGGTGAGTGCTGGTGGTAACCTGTGCTGGGAGTGCTGAGTTATAATCTAGAGCAGGATATCTGTGTGTAGGTCAGGTGGGTTCTAAGACAAAACACATACTTTATTTTTTGCCCTCTAAAACTGGAAGTGGCAGGGAATTTTTTTGGTAACTGTTTTGATGGGGACTGACAGATGCAGATAGCTGGCAGTGTCCCTGCCCACCACACAGACCATGTACCCTTCATGTCCTGAGTGCAGCACACCCACTTCTGCTGGCAGCATCCAAATCCAGCAGGTCTGTCACCCTGCCCTCCTCTCTCTGCTCTTCCCCTTTGCAGAACCACAAGTTCAGCATACATCCCCATCAGCTTGTGCTTGCACTCCTTCCATTCTTCATTGCCCTTTTGGATACATCCCAAATCCCATCTTTTTGTCAGAATCCCTCCTGATTCAGTGCTATCTCCCTTTCAATTGCCACTGTATCAGTCATTTCCCATTTAACCTGCTGCCTTAGCAATGTCACCAGTCTCTGGTAATGAAAAACAAGTAGGCAAAATATTTAGCTAGTGTAAATGTAAACTGCAGGATTTGCATATTCTGGCATCTGACCATTATCTAGGGTGGAAAAAAAGCTTTTCTAGGAAAGATTCAGCTACACGTGTGTACTTTGCAGGGAATGACATTATCTTAGTCATGAGGATGTTCCTGGTGTACAGAGTGAATGGTACAAACATGGGAGGTGGGGAGTGTGTTACTGTATTAGAGTCACTGAATTTCTTCATTTTATGGTTTTCCAGGTTATTCTCCCTGATCTGGCTGTGCTGAGAATAGCAGTGTATGATGACAACAATAAGTTGATTGGTCAGAGGATCCTGCCTTTGGATGGTCTGCAAGCAGGTTACAGACACATTTCCCTTCGGAATGAGGGCAACAAACCACTCTCTCTGCCAACAGTTTTCTGCAACATTGTGCTTAAAACATATGTGCCTGATGGATTTGGAGGTGAGCTAAACCTGTGTCTCAGTGTGCTGTAGGTGTGGAGCACTGGGGGGAAGTACTGGTGTACTGCAGGGTCAGAATGCCAGCCAGAAGCACACACCCAGTGCTGGAGGGTTGGAAATATTTAGTATTTTAACTCCTTGGAATCCCTGCATAATCAGTTAAGAAATCAGCTTTCAGATCAAGAGCCTGCCTCTGTGTTAATTACACGTATCCATTAAAAGGCAAAATAATAGGGAAAAGAAGCTAATACTAGTTAGCCCAATTTTATTTTCTCTGTTGATATTTTAGGAAGATTCTTCCCTTGAATTATTTTTCATTACATTTTTTCTGACATATTTGTAAGGTTAACACTTTCTTTAGCTATATTGTTTCTCCTATAAGTATAAATAATTGATGCAGAATCTAGACATGTTTTTTCAAACATCACTTTTGTTTTCTTGGAGAATATTGGCATGTTGTTAAAAATGGACAGCAAAATAATTTAGTTTCCAAAACCTTTCTACATTTTTCTCTCCCAGTCTGACACGTTTTTAGTGTGGTTTAATTATTTTGGGGTTTTCAGGAAAGTAATTTTTAATGTGAGGCATTTCCACGCTCAGGTTGGCAGGGCTGTGGTCATTTATACTGAACAGTGGCAAATTGCTACAGGTGGGTAGGAACAAATAGCTGAGAATAATCATTACACCACTTAAATCAGTGTAATGAGTAAGTTCAGCCTGAAGGTGTACCTCTGGGAAATGTTTTCTTCACTGCAGATGAAATTCACTTCTACGTTAGACAACATGTATTTTTACATTTAAAACTGTAAAATAAAAATTGGGCTAAATGTTAGTGCTCTGACTCTGCAGCAAAATGAAGTTCACCTTAGAGCTGATTGGTGAAACATCATTGGTAAAAATTAAGTTCTGCTCTTTGCAAAAAGGTTTTCAAACCTGCTGTCTATGCAAAGAATTCAGGAGAGAATTAAAGCATGTGCTTAAATATATCCCTTAGATGAATTTAGGCTTTTGACAGTAAATGACTTAGTTTAAAATATTTCCTAAACGAGGGACGTGCTTCTGATTTGGGATTGATGTTTTTTCAGAATGATACCATGCTCTTTCTAAGAGTAGAATTTAAACTTAGAATTTAGTTTGTATCTGAAGCTTCTGAGTGTGCTGGTCACTTAGGGGGAAAATAGTATTTTTATTTTCTTTATTAAACCGCATTATACAAATTCAGAAGTGAACGACTTGTTTTTCAAAGAGAATGAGTTCAATTATTAGTTCTCCTCTCCCTTCCCAGATAGTTTTGATGTGTCTCATATATTTTTCTCATTGATATAGAACAGCAGCGTGATGAACAACTGGGAAATAACTTTTGACACTCAGGTGGAATCCTTAGCATTCTGTTGGCCTTTTTTAATTACTTCTTGTCTGCACTGAACCTCTCACTTTTTTATGAGCTATCATTAGGATCTCCATGCTTGTTTTAGCAAACTTGTAGGAAGGTATAGCTCAATTCAGTAGCTACCTACTCTTTTTTTTTTTAACCTGTATGAGTAAGATACAAAATCTTGCACTGAATAATAACTAGAATGGGTAATTCATTGTAGACTTTAACAGATGCATGAATTTATTTTTTTCTTTAACTTAGCAATTTCTTGTGCTCTATTTGCATCAGCTACTCTGTTCCTAATAAAACACAATATAGGTGCAAATTAATGCAAATGAAGTAGCATTCTCCAAAGACAAGCTTCTATATTAGAAGTCTGTAAGCAAGCATGGCTACTTAGGTTAGTGGTTAGAGTCCTTTGTAATATACTCCTCCAGTGATTTTCCCAGTTTTAAATTTAATTGCAATCCTTCTACAAAGTGCTGTTCCCCACCCCCACCTTACCTCAGTGGGGTGAGCAAAAAAACGTAAGCAGAGGACAAATGACAATGTGAGAAGCAGTGATGAGTCACATCCCCCTCGTAGAAGTGCCGAGCCTTTGGTGATGTGCTTTTGGGGTTAGCAAATACAATTTACAAAGGTCTCACTGTCCCAAACATGTTAGTCATTTCTCCCTTGAAGCTCGTGATAATCAGGTCCCATTTTCAAATGACGCATCGTTGTAGCAGGGTAGTCCTGGATTCCCATTGAAGAGTGCATGCCAAGGACAAAAAGACAGGCTTACTAAGTTAGGGGAAACCATTGGTGCTGAGCTACAAGGTTGTTATTATGGCTGAAAATAAATTCCATGTGGTTTTTGTGAGTATGAAGTAAGCTTCAGGTGATGCCATTGGGTCATGATAGTTATCGGAGGCAACTTGTGTAGATCAACAAGAGCTGTCAAGGGTAGTGCTATGTATTTAATGCAACTTTTGATGGTGTGGGAGCCCTGTCTGTGCTTCTTTTGCTTGAGAAGTGCAAATATGGTGACTTCAGGTGAACATTGAGTAGAACAACTTAAGTTGGAAGGGAGATGATGCAGTCCAGCCCCTAGTTTGCATGTGAAGGATAGAGAGTTTCTTCCAAAAGCTGGTTTGGGTATAGCCCTGGTCAGTGGAGCAGCTTCTCTGTCTTACATCACTTTAAGTTCACTTGGAAAATGGCTGAAGAGGTGACATGAAACATGGGCAAAATTCAAATGATGATGAAAACCATGAGTGTCAGAATTGTCCTTGCAGAAATCATTCCTGTTACGCTAGTGAGACCATCTCAAATGTAAGGATACAAAAGCATTTGTCTTTTACTCATAAGCAGCCAAAAATAGGGCTCTGCAGCATTCCACAAAGAAACAGCTTCCTCACAAGTGCTTCTCTGTGACAAAAACTCTGAGTTCAGCAAATGACAATATTTTGTAGTGAATGATGAATCAATCCAGCCATAGCATTCAAACTTCCTTTCCTAAATTGCTGCTCTGACAGGGGAGGCTTGTCTCTGACAAGACTCTGGTCTCACCTGAGAGCAATGATCCTTTTCTCTGTAATACTCAAGTTGAAGTTTCAGATCATCAAAACAGATGCCTGCTGCAGTCTCTGGATACATCCTTATTGCAGGTGCTGAACTGGTTCAATCTATAAATCATTTCTTACTGGGAAGGCCTCCTTTGCTCTTTGTGAATTATTTGGCTGAAATTCTTTGTTGAAATTAAGCATGGAAAGGGATTGTTTAACAGGCAGGTATAGATTCAGGGGTCTTTGTCTTCCTGTAAACCTATGCTTGCACATTTATCACTGCATAAGGAAGAATAATCTGTATTCTAGCCAATGCTGGGTAGTGCTGTGAGACCACTGGTAGTACTGTGTCACATACAAGATTCACATGCTGGTCATTCTGGGTGACAGAAAAGCCATTTCACAGCCTGTCATGTTCTAGACGTGGAGCATCACAAAGGCAGCTGAGAACAGATTTCCCCGATTGCTTTAACCACCCATCTGAAACTACTATTTAGGTAGGAAATATAACAGCATTTTCTACAATTCCCTGCAGGCCCAAGTCAGTCAGGACCCCCTCAAATAGCCCAGAGACAAAGCTGTTAGAACTTGACAAGTTCACTGTGGAAAGCTGGACTATTGTTGCAAACCATGGCTCTTAACAACAGGGGTACACTAAAGCTCTTGTAGAAGGTTAATTTCCAAATGCTTCTGCAGATCATAAAAAGCTGATTCTTTTTCTTGTTACAGATATTGTTGATGCTTTATCAGATCCAAAGAAATTTTTGTCTATCACAGAAAAAAGAGCAGACCAAATGAGAGCTATGGGTATTGAAACTGTAAGTAAAACTTAATGACAAACAGCCCATTTATGTTCAGGATATATTCTTTTTTTAAAGTAAACCAGTCCTCCAATTGATGCATGTTGCCTTATAATTTCTTGTTTTTAGGTATTTATCTTTGTCCTGCTCTGATATACAGTAGCTTATGGTAGTTAACATGTACTGAAATGCCATTCACCAGCTTTTCATGGATCATATTAACATATCTCTTAGAAGCAGAAGTTTTAAGAAATTAGAAAAGAGAGAGAAAATTTTAGTGGGTAGCCATTTAAAATAGTTTACAAATACTTTACAGAGTATAGTGTTGTTTGAAAGTATGTTGCAGTTTTCTTAATTCTGTTTAAAATAAGCAAGTTCAGACATTTCCCAGCTTTTATACCACAAGTAAAAGGACCATTAATTTATGATGTGAATACTTCTTTCAGAGTGATATAGCCGACGTACCAAATGACACTTCAAAGAATGACAGGAAAGGAAAAGCCAATAATGCCAAAGCCACTGTAACACCTCAGAGTAGCTCTGAGCTTCGACCAAGTACCACTGCAGGATCTGGGACTGAAACCAAGAAAGGTAGACAAAAGTCATGTGCCCCTCCTTCAGCCTTGAAATCACTGCCAATAGTAGTAACCTGCCTGACTCTGAGAATTGTTTAGTAAAGATCTTTACACTCTTCTGGTTTACTCCACAGAAACTCTTCTGCTTTTATTCTACCTCCACAAATCCCTTGGCAGAGTTGCAGATCTAAGTAATTAAAAGTATTTAGAATTCATTGGGTTCTGTAGAGATTTCCCAACAATTAGAAATGTTTTCCATGTGTGGTTTTATTCTGAGCAGTGATTATGGAAATGGCATGTTTATTGTAAAAAATATCCATAGAAAATGTGCTCATCTATAAGGGAATAGCTTTTTTTTTCCTCACTATCCATTATTCACTGTACTAAATCATCTCACAGAGTCAAATGGGATTATTTGCTTCTCAGTCATCATCACAGGTAATGAAGATTAAGTGAGCAAACAAATTGCTACAGCTGAATGAAGCACAATAGACATTTCTGATAATGTGCCACAAGAATTGATCCACTCCTTTCACCCACCTTGGCCCAAAGGGATTGATAGGAGTAAAGAGGAGCACTGACTGCTCTTGTTCTTAAGCAGGCATGGCTGAATTCACTCACATGCAAAGGGATCTCTTGAGACACAAGAGGCTGTTTCTCTGGAGCCACTTTTGTCAGTAAAACAGGTGGGCTCTGCCACCTGAAATCTTTCAAAGTTCTTCCTTGGTGTAAAACTCAGATTATTTTATGCAATGAGATCATACAATGTCTTGGCTGGAAGGGACCTCCAAAGGTCATCTTGTCCAACCCCTCCACGATAAGAACCAGAACACAGGGACATCTCCAACATAAAATCATAGAACATATATATCATCACCAAGATGCACAATTATTAGTTTTATTGTGCATTAATTAAGCATGAAATTTGTTGGGGTTGGCAACTAATTGTTTTGCTTTTTTTCCTCTGACTTTTAGTAATATTTAAATGATTTGTGTTTTTGAAACCTTTAGCATCTATCTGTGCCTAAATCTGTTCCAGTCTCATTTACTAGACTAATGTTAATACCCTATAATTGAGCCAAATTCTATGTTTCTAAGAAAAGAAAAGATTTCTTCTCCTGAAGGGAATTGTCTACCTTCCCCTCACTTTTTTTTTTTAACAGCTTCTGAATATTTTCCAGGCAAATTCACCTTAAAAGACAGAAAGTCAAGGCTGGGGGAATCTTACAGTCCACAGGCTCCATTAAGAGCAGTTAACTAAATACATTTGCAGTGTATTTATAGAGAGGAAAACATTTTAGTGTAAAATCTCAGGAAAAGAACCTACACAATTCAATTCTCATGGCATTGTATTGATGTTTTTTATTAATGATTATATGTAGGATGTGCTTAGTAATTTAAAAAAAAATCATTGTTTGTCACAAACAATTTATTAAAGCATAAACGTGAAATGAGATTTCATTTTGTTTGCATTGAAGTTAAGGTGATCAAAATATATTTTCATTCATCTAAATAATACTGGGATTTTTGTGTGATGGGGTTGCTTGTATTGAATTTTCACCTTTTAGGATTTTGGTTCTCCTCAATTTTCAACTCTTCTTTAGTCTTGCAGTATACTCTTGCTCTTTTTCTCATAGCTTGGTGTTAGCCAAAGTGCAAATTTTACCTCCTTTAACAAATAGCAGTGAAAATTTACCTGCAGGCTATGATTTTTGTGTTTTAAGTTGAGGAGAAAAAGTACACCTGACCTCAGTTAACCCTTTATGTAGTCATGGGCAACCTTACCCAAGAAGCCTCCCCCCTGAAACAAGTGGTGCCAGAGCAATCTCCAGCTGTGGACCAAAATTCTGAAGTCTTACATGGTTCCTTTTCAATGTACATAAATGGTTTGCTGTGTTTTTGGAAAAGTGGCTTTTTTAATTCTTAGATTGCTGTGTTTTGACACTTCAGAACTGTAGGAGATTAAAATACCCTCATTGATTGATTTCTCTTTTCCCAAGGCAATTGATTGAGCAGTGCATTTGAAAAGGAAATTAACTGTATCTTAGCTATATCTTGATGAATAATTTTCTCATTAGCCTCCAATTATTTTTTATGTGTTGAAAAACATTAATTGCTAATTTAAATGTAGCCTTTTATTGTAAAACTCAAAGTTAAAAGTATGTATCCTAGTATATATGAAGTTTTAGATAAACTATATCAATACCTTCCTAGGTATAGACCTTATTCCTCAAGTGAAGATAGAAGATTTAAAGCAAATGAAGGTAAATATGGCCACAAGCTTTTCCAGATGTGTTCCTAATTATTGCTTACTTTAAGTAGCCAGGATTTCATCTGGCTAAAGTCAGTATGACCACAGAAAAATTGATCTGACTTCTTTTTTTGTAGGCTTATATAAAGCATTTAAAGAAGCAGCAGAAAGAACTGAATGCCTTAAAGAAGAAACATGCAAAGGTATGATCATTAAGACCTCTCTGAGCAAGATACTCTAACTGAAAAAAGCTGCAGTTCTCACTAACACAGGCAGCTCCTCATTAAATTGTAGGTGAGAAACTAAGAAACAGTAGCTGGACCTCCTAAGGAAGGGCATATGTGTATTTAATATACTGAAATATGCTCCAGTGAGCAAATATTTCCTTTAGCAATCCCTTTGTATGTCTCCCTGAGTTTTGATGCATGTTTGTTTGACCCATGTAAGCATCCAGAGCTCACTTTTTTCAGGTAATGATTTTATCTAGCTCCCTCTTGCATGACCTATTGACAGGCAGCTTGGAAAAGAAGGCAGCAGTGATGTGAGAGAGTGCTGCATCAAAGGCAGGCACTGGAGAAACTGCAAAATTGCCAAAGAGAACTGGAATGTGTAACTGAAAAATCAGATTCCCTATTCCTCCTTACTTGCATCTATGTCAACCACTTTATAGGCAGCTTTTTGCTTGATACTGTTGGTAGTGATGTCCCAAATACACACAAATATATATTATGTTGGAAAATCACAAGCAATTTTCCCCTGCCCTTTATCATTAGAAAAACATTACTGTTGTTACAGAAAGAGGCATAACAAGTGAAGAAAGTATCTTCAGTTCTGAATACAAAAAAAATCTATTCTAGGCTTTTGGGGCAGTTATTCCCTTGCTCTCTTTGCAGAGCTGACATAATGGACTCACCTGAGCATTTTTAATATCAGTCCTTGTGTTTATTTTCATAACTGTTGTTTGGACAGGGACTCTGCACAATGAAGTATGAAGAAATTACTTTCAGTAATTGGCATTTTTGTGAGACTCCTAGTATTTATAGTATAAGCAAATGAAATAGTTACATTTCAAACTCAATGCAGAAGGGAAAGGAGTGATTCCATTGTAGTGGGGTGGCAAAGCCCATGCTCAAGAAAAAGTATCTGTCATCTACACTTCTGGGTACAGATGGTTTCTAGACCTTCACAGGGTTGATTATTTTTTTTTTCTAGGGAGCTTCTTATTTTTAACCACTACTTTCTCATTCATTGGACAACATCCAGCAGTTCACCATAGCAGATTTTTGCAAATGAAAGTGGTGCCATGGTTACGTGTAGAACACCCATATTTAATGGTCTGTGTCCCTGATCTGTGACCCACAGTAGTGTGAGGATGTCTCAGCCCAGGCTGCACTTGCTCATGTTAAAAAAAATTGATCCATCTGTTTAGAGGAAGCAAGTGCAAGCCTTATCTGAGGAGAAAACTGCTAGCCACAATCTGACAATGCTGTGCACTCAGATGAGCTTTCAGCATTAGCTCAAGCACAGATATATTAGGTCTGAGCCATCCTGTGTCCTGCTGGTCTTAAGTACAGAGTACAAGCCTGTCTAACAGGAAAGTGCCTGTCTAGAGCATGCCTTGCTAAAGGCTCCAGTAAGGGCAACTTCTTGAATTTGGAGAGGAGCCTGAGCAGAAAAGTGTGGCCATATTAGCTCACAAATTATCTTAGGGAAGTACTCAGTATACTCATCACTGGTTTTGATGCATTTTATTAGCTGGGACGAAGTAGGAGAGCAATGCAGTTGTTATCCACAATCAGCTTGAGGAAGCCTTTGTACTAAGCCTGAACTTAAAAGTTGCAGAAATAGGCTGGCTGTTGTTTAACCATAGACACTCCAGAGATCTGGAGGAATAAGTAAACAGAAAGGAATTACTTGGGTTGTTTAATGAAAGAAAAGTCCAGTACTTTTCCATCTCAAGTTGGCCTTGGGAAATGTATCCAGGGAAATGAATGCATGCAAATGTGGAAGGCAGAGCAGGCTGAGGAAGGACCTCTGATCAGAGAGGTGTGGGAGCTAATCTGGTAGCCCTGGGCACAGCTAGCTAAGGAAGAGGTTGGTTGCTCTGTATGAAAACACATCAGTCTCTGTTTTGTCAGGGTATAGGACTGTTACAGATACCACAATCCCAGAATTCATTTCCTGTGCATTTGCATTGACATTGAATATTTCTACTGTTTGAAATAAAGCCTAGTGAAATAAAAAAATCTCCATTTCACAACGCAAAAGTGATATACAAAAGACTATGGGACAATAGATTAATAAAGTTCTGCAAAATGGATTTTTTTTTTCTTTATTTCCTCGTTTTTGCATTCTGTGATGAGAACCTCCCAGCCTTCAGTTTTCAGTTGTATTCAGTATTTGTGTTGCTTTAGGGAGATGCAAGGCAGGAACAGCAGTTTGCATCACAGGAACTTACTTCCTCTTCAACAGACTGAATTATGATTTCTGCCCCAGTCCTCCACCCCTTAATGGAACTATATATGATTCTTTACTTTTTTCTCATGGATAGTTTTGCTGTGATTTGAGTCTTTTTCCATCAATTAGGTGGCCTCTCAGAACCCTGGCTGAGCTGTGGCTTCAGTTTGTAAAATAATCATTCAATGTAATTCAAGAATATACCACTGTAAAAGGCATGTGAATTCAAACTGCAAATTCAGTGGGCTTGAGGAAAAGATGAGACACCTAGCTGAGGAGACCACTATCTGCAAACAGACTCTAAATCAATCTAGGACCTGTTACCACCAGAAAATTTGTCTGCAGATGAAAACAAAATATGCTGAGGGTGTTTTAAGATGCTACAAATCCACTTGTATTTCTTAGAGTCTGGACAAAAGTTTGGGATGCAGCATCAAGCTGTGATGAATTTTCCTGTGAGCATAGGGAGAAAATCAAACTCACTATCAGTTAACCCATTTTCAAAATAGAGTTCCAGGGATTGAAGGTCATATCATTCAGGGGATCTGTATTCTTCTGCTCATCTAGGGGAGAGTGGGTGAGATGCTGTCAGTCATGAACCTGTCAGATAGCACCTGGCTGGTGCTACCAAGCTTATGTCATTCTTCTCACTGTCCATCTTCCTACCTGCTTAGTCAGTATAAATGTTCCCTGGTGAAGCTGGTGTGTTTAATGTTGATGGAGTCTATTTGTTTCCCTTTAAATCCTCTGTAGAACAGAAAATTCAATTTCCCACCTCTAAACAGAAAATTTGGATGCTGCACGCGTTCCCCAGGGAAGTGCTTGGCAGATGTTGGAGTGCTTGGGTACAGCCCAGAGCTAGGTTTTTAATAGCTACACAACATTTGTATTAATGTTTTGGTAAAAGTGAGTGTAAAAGTCTTTAATTAGTATTTTTAGAGGAAGAAACAGTGATAAGGCAAGCACAGGTGTATAGAAAATAATAACCAAGAGCAGCAGAATAGCAAGGGTAGAATAAATGCAAAATGAGCTATAAAACAAAATAGAGATAAAGTCCTGGAAGAGGCCATATTAATTAATGCAAGGCTTTTTGCCATGATTAGATAAAATGTGGAGCAATTGGTTATTAATAAAGTAACATAAATTAACAAACAACAGTTCTTCCTATTGTAATGTAAATTCAATACTTGGTGCTGTCCATGATGGTTCAATATTTGCATCATTATGAGCAGCTGCTGTGATAAAGGAGAGGATCAAGTCAAGTTCAGTAATGAAGTGTATATGTAAGCACTAAGTAAAGTGTGTTCTATGTGGTACAGTCTTGTAATGGAAAAACAGTGTCTGTGTGCCAGACCCAAGTGTGTAACACCCATTAGTGCTTCATCTTTTCACTACAGGGACAGTTTTTTCCTCCTCTTTCATAGATGCCACTTCACCAGTGTAAGTCACATAACTATAGTAGTGACAGCAAGGTAGCATTGGTGTGTAATACTCTACAGGTAGCCCTCTAAGTCCAGTTTATCAATATGTGCTGTATTTTTTTGGGGTGGAAAGGGAGCAATGGTTATTTGCAGTGTGCATGTGTAGTTAAAAGTCATATTACACAGCTATCGTTTGCAAAGGGCAACGCCCTGTAACAAGGTGCAATGTTTTAATGATAAAATTGCTGTCATTAGGGGTCATGGGCCAGATCTTCAGAATGTCAGATGGTAATGATTTGATTTTTTAGCTAATGTTTGGACATGGAGCTATTTGATTTGCTCTGTTTGGTATGAGACATGTAGAGGAATTGGGCACGGGTTGAGTTTTGTTCTGCTGTGCACTCAGAAACATTGAATGATATGATCTGAGCTTGTAAATCTCATTTTTTACATTGCACTGAAATGGATATTTATTAAAAAAGAGGAAGGGTTTTTTTCTATCATTCTTTTACTTTAAAGTACACTGCATTTTTAAGGTCCGCTACATTCATTTTTCAAACAAATATGAGATGTTTTAGCACTTACAGTGGAATATCTGGAACCTTTAATATACCAGATGGCTAAACCAAATTAAATTTAATTATCAAAGTTTTTTTTTACCCTTTGAGAAAACTAAAGGTTGAAAATCCAGCAAGCTAATTGTAAGGTCCTACTGTTTTGCAGGAGCACACAGCTATGCAGAAGTTGCACTGCACACAAATTGACAAAGTAGTGGCACAATATGATAAAGAAAAGGTATCGTATGAGAAAATGTTAGAGAAGGCAATCAAGAAGAAAGGGTAAGATTTTTTTCTTTTTTTTACACTTAAAATAGATTTTAAGCTTTTGTGGTCTGGAATAAAACATTCATAACTGTCGTTCACATGAATGAATTTCAGCTTGAACCAGCATCTTACATCAAACTGAGTATGAGCTGCTTGAAGGCTCTAGAAATGGGTCATAAATGTGGTTTGCCTTTCTCTGGTCTTTTACTATCAGAGTTTTAAATGTAAAAGTGAAGGAGTTGCCTGAGGTTTGTATTTTGGTGGTCTGATCTGGTCTCACTACACTCCCCGGGGAATGTTACTGTTGTGTTAGAGCAGACTAAGGTCCTCAGTATCTCTAATGACCAGAAAATAGCAATGATTTGATTTTGGGGAAAAGCTGACTTCTAAATGTTTTAGAATAATAGAGTTTTGCTCTGCTGCCAAGTTGAAAATTATTTTTAACAAAAAAACCTTAAGATACGTAGCTGGGATAAATCACTCTTGCTCCTTTGACTTGAGTGGAGCTGTTTTGGTTTGAGCTAGCTGGTGACCTGGGCCATTATCTGTGTGAACCTCTTGACTGTCCCAGGAAAGTTCCTGGAAGATACTGATGACTTCAATAAAATATCCTTTTTTTACAGTCCCATTTAGATTTATGTAGCAGGAGCTGCTTGTTGACTTGCTGCTGTTGTGTCATCTAGCAGCAGCATCTCCTCTCCACCTTTCATCCTATGACTGGTGTTCCATCAAGACAATGATACTGTGACCCAAAGCAGAAATTACTTTATTTAGTTCTGTATCCAGCTATGCTAATAGTTAGCCTTAATTTCATATTGTTGTGATCTGGCAACAACTGGCAACCAATTCACTCATTGAATACTGAACATAAATGACTATTTGGCATTAGATTCTTCCACAAATACTTTTTGGGTTATAAATTATTTGGAATAGCAGTGGGTTTTGAGTGTGCATGTTATAAACTTGCAGCAGAACAGAAATAGAACTGGAAGAAGTAAACAAGATGAGGAGAATTCACTCACTAACTCTAAAAACTCATGTTGGGTTAGGTTTGTTGCCCAAGAAAGGAGAACTATAAGCACCCAAATACTTCTAACCCAAGTAGTTCCTTTCAGAAAATTACCACTACTCCAGAGAGGGAACAGCTACAGGACTAATTAAATTAATGTGGCTTTGATTCAATTTCCATTGAATATAACATAGCAGAAGGTTATTGATATAGCTGGAATTATAATTACAGTCAGGGTATTTACAACAGTGGCAGTGAACTAAGCCCTGGACAGTGCACCATAATTATTGTGGAGGAAGAAAGGCTTCCCCATGCTCTGGTATTTAAGAGTCTCATATCAGAAGAGTCCTGACATGAAAGTTAAAGGTGAGAATGGCTGTCTGTGCAGTCAGTGGTGGAAAGCACTGGGTAACAATGCTTTCCAGATTAACCCCAAATGGGACAAGTATAGAAGTAGCTGATAATTTGATTCCTGACTATTTCCAGTGTCTTTGCTTAATTTTATAACACTTATGTCATGGATGTCAAAGCCTTTATGCTAATTTTAATTTATCATTAAAAGGGTTTTTTTTTAAAAAAAAAAAAAAGAGTTGGAAATGACCACTCCAGAAGCAGATCCAATACACAGCCAAGCACTGTCCTCACCTTCACTTCCATACTTCCCATGGACTCCAGAGCTCTCAGTCACCTGTTAGGTCTTCAGTGTTACAAGAATAACTGTTACTGTCTAATTAACAGCCAAATCAAATCCAATATGAGCACAGACTTTCTGTGAAAACACTTTTTAATTCTGTATCTAAGTGTTTTCAGGGTTATTGTGCATGCAGCCCTGAAAGCCCATTCTGCAAGGCACCTACACACTTCTCTTCACCCCACCAGCACGGGCTGTTTAGGGACATGGCTAAAAGTGAACACATTGGTTGAGACTCAAAGACATTATGGAACTGAAATGATCTGATGGGTACGAGATCATGGTACAGGACATGCTCTGTTACCTTGGCTGTCATTTTGGGACTCTTACAAGCCATAGAAGTTGTAAAAGAATGTGTGAAATGTGTTTTCAAGGCATTCCTATTGAAATTGTCAGATATTTCCTCCAAGTCTTTTTTCATAGGTGTAAGGGAAACTTTCTCTTCTGATTTTGTTGCACAGTTTTTCATGGTCTGTTTCTGCCACATGGTGTGACAAATGTCAACTGCATATTGTTCAGCAAAGCAGAATTTTTTTAATCACTTGCTAATTCACTGACAGATGGACAGGATTTTTCTCCCTGTGCTATTTCTGTTGTACACTTCAAATGTTTAGAAATCTCAGAGAGGCTTACGAGGATATGTATGCTCGTGTTCCCACTCTGAAATGGAGTTGAGAGCACCTAAGGAGCCTTCAGAATTATTGGGACTGTCCAGAAATTCAAGTATATGTTTGTATGTGAGCATGGACATGAGACATTGGCTTGATAATCCTCACTTTATCCAGCCTGACTGAAAGTTGATTTGAGATATAATGAAAACTGCATTTCCAGAGAAGGGATCAGCTTATAGTTTCAATATCTGGGATTCTGAAAAGTTCAGTGATTGAACTAATTAGACTAATTTGGGATAAAATACATTTGGTTCTCCTAAGAAGGAGTCTCTTGCATAGTGTATGACAAATCAGATATGAATTATAGCCAAACTGATCACAGCTACCCACGTGCATAATCAAAGATCTTTCCAGCTGTTTGTTTGGAGTTTTGGGTTTTTTTTCAAGCAAAGACAACAGTGGTCAGAATCTGTTTCTATCTATTTATATTACTTCCAAAATGTCAAATGAGTGTTAGAAATCTCTATTAAAATTTCCTTGCTCCAACTAGAAAATAAATGGCTAGCCTTTTTGTGGCCCTTGTGGACATAAGCCATATCATCATGCTATTATTTTCTCTAAGGGCTTTCCTGGTGCAGTTTAAAGATAATTTCTGCTAATTTCTATATGTTGAGCAGTACTTTGATATTAAAATAGGATTTAAACTTGTTAAGAATTTCATAAATCTCCTTTTCTAGAGCAAATATGGATTAATGTTACTGCAGTCAAGCAGTAACCATTCTTATTAGGGCTAGCTTCAAATGATAAAATGAATGTGGTTCCATCCACTTGGTGGAGTTACACCATTTTACATCAGTGGATGATCCAACACAGAAAAATTACAGTGATACTAATACAGACTCCTCTCAATCATCATTCCAGACAAAGCCCCAGAGATTTCCAGTGTGTGAATTTGTATTCTGCTGTAAAAACCCTTCACTGCCAAAGAAGGGACAAGAAGATGGGTAAACATGCAGCTTGTCAGCCTTCAAAAATTTATTGACTTTGAAACAGTAATTGAATTTCTTGTTGTAGCTGCAACAGGACAGGTTTTTTTGTACAGCCAACACACCTAGTGTGCAGCCCAAGTAATTGGGCTTAATTAAGGAAATCCTGTGGGTGAGAGGTAGAAGTCATCTATCTCCTAACCCACAGGGATGTCAGGGGAGCTTCAGCAGGGACCCTCTGCAGGCATTTTACCAGCCTTAGAGTCATGCTTTCAGATTTAGTATGCCCAAATTGCCCTGTGAGGTAGTTATACAAATGATTTCTTTTTCTCTGACTCAAAGTAAGGAGAAAGGAAAAAAAGAAGTAGGAAAAATTGCTTTTAAAATAGAGGATAAAGTCATGGCAAGGCAATGAATATGCCTGTAAGTTTTCAGGCAGAAACTGGTTTCTCTTGGCAAGATATTTTAAGCCTGGAAAAGGAACTGTTCCCATAAATGGAGATTCTTCACACATCTTCAGCAACAGAATAATTGCTGGGCCAATCTAGACTTACTCGTGTAGTGTTTGAATTGAACGATCAGTAACCCAACAATATTTTGTAAGTTGTGAATAAATTGCCAGAAGAAGTAATTTCATTCCAATACACTGCAGAACTTCAACTTTGATTAACATTTTAATTAGGAAGAGCTGAATGAATGGGAAGATGTTTAACTTGTGGCACATATTTGCAATTTTTCCTTTTTTTTTAGAGGAAGTAATTGTCTTGAATTGAAGAAAGAAACGGAAATTAAAATTCAGACACTAACATCAGATCACAAATCAAAGGTAAGCAAACAGTCAATTTTAACACACACAACATCTGAAAGGGAGATTTTGAGACTGAAGCAGTTGTTAATTTTCTTGGAAGCATACGAATGATTTTCAGCCATAATAACATGTTGAAAAGAATGGCAGTAATTGAGTTTCTAAAAACGTTCCTTAAAAAATTTAAAAAGCAACATCAATTTCCTGCCCTTTTGAAATTTTGGAAGAAAATGCCATATTTGTGCCTTAGGAAGCAAAACTGGTCATTTGTATCAGTTCTGGTTAAACAAAGAGAATATGTGCTATAGGAAAGTGGGATGCTAATTACTTTTCCCAAAATATATACATAAAGAAGTTTCTTTTTCATTTTCCATCACTGCCACCATTGACAACACTTGCTAATCTGTCTCTTAGGGAAGGATGAGTCCATGTTGCTCTTGAACAAAGTGCCTTCTTATTTCTGATATTTTTTTTGGTCCATTACTTAGTGGCATTGTTTTCTCCAAGGTGCTGGAGAATGAAAGTGCTCTGAGATTCCACCTCAGTTCGTTGGAAAAAGTTTTTACCAAGCTGTGATTTATGATGCACACTGAGCTGCTTAGAGCTGCTTCCTCTATACTTCTATACCACCAGTATGCTCACTGACTTCATATTTTCTTTGAAAGCTTTATTTACCACCTGTTGACATGCTTTCAAGTTTCTGGGAGATATCCAAGCTTAGAGGCAGGTGCACTAGGAGGCACGTCCATGTAAAAAATCATCTAGGAGGAGTAAGAGAGACTGACCACAGCACAGGAGAGTCACTGTAAAAGCTGAAACCTGTGAGAAGAATCAGGCAAGTATAGAAAATACAAACAAAAGCAGCCACATCTTTGAGAGTAGAACAAGTTTATTTTCATGTTTTATTATTTCATGTGGAGAAGATCCTGGTTTTCTAAACAAGGTTTCTTTCTCGTTGCTGCCTGCTCAGCCAGAGATGTAGGAAAAAACCCAGGCATAAAACCTAATTTACTCTCATCTCCCTATCTCCTTCCCCTATGAAAAGTCCCAGACTGTTTCCTTAAATAAAAGCACATTTATTGACAACTTAAGAAAAAAAAAAAAAGATAATCCATTAATTTCTTAGTGAAATAAACTCTCTGAGGAGCACTAGCTCCCTATCATCCAGACATGAGCTCCAGAACTCATCTGATGTTAGATTGTGTGGAATATTCTTTGCTGTGTCCTCTGCTTCTCACCTGTGTCATTCACAGTCTGGAGTTAAGAGGTGTGATTTGTACACAAGGGACATCCTAAGCATTTGTTAATCTTCCAGATCCAATAAATATGACTCATCTTTTCCCTTTCCACAAATGTCTGCAGTTTCTGAGGTCTGTTCCTTTTAAAATCCCATTTTCAAACTGGTTCACTTCAATTTAATCCATACTTGGAAAAAAGATAGATTTTTGCCCACTCCCATCTCAGGTTTTAGGATGACATTTCCAAGGGAGACTTAAATGTAAGCTCCTTTGAAATGCCAAATCTCTGTGTGTTGGATAATTCCTGAAGAACTCTGCAAGTCATCTGCCTCTGTGGCTTTCCTTAGGTCAGTGATTTTCAGTGTCTTGCTTACTGTGGTTCCATCAAAATTGCCTAGATTATGTACCCATTTTAGTATTCTTACAGAATACTTCCTTTTTTTTTTAAGTGCTGTGTGTGGGCCTTTCATTTATTCCAGGAGATCATGCAAAGGTTTGCAAGCAACAGTTTGGAAAACAGTGCTCAAGACCATAGGGAAATTAACTTTTATCCTAGATGAAAGTAGGTGCAATTAAATGAGATTAAATTCTGAGATGCTGAATGCATTACACTGATATAGTGGGAGTTTGATTAATTAACAGTTGTTTAGAATTTCTCAGCATTTGGCCCACTAATTTTGTTATCAGATTGTACTATAATTCAGCTTTAATTACAGCTCTGTGTCACAAAGTGCATGTGCACTTTTAGCACCAAAGAGATTTTTTCATCTGCAAAAAACTTTCTGTCGTGAGGAAACATCCAGCCCAAGTTTGGCATAAAATATTTAAATCAGATCAGGATATCCCAATGTGTACTTCACACACAATTAACCTAGCAGATGCAAATTACTCCCCTGCATTAGAAAAGTAGGTCCCAATATCAAGCAGGCAGAGGATAAAAAGAAAAAAAAAAAAGGAAAGATTACTTCAAAGATTATTCCTGCTTGAACTTAGCAACTAAACAAACATCTTGCATATATGCTGTGCAAAAGAAAGTTCCTTATCAACATTTTAATTAGTCTCTTAGGCCCAGTGTGGGAAGAGATGAAAGGGCAGCATTGCAAACACAATCTGTGGAACAGGAAAGAGAGAAGTTAGCTAATGGTTATTTTCCTTACCCTTTTGGATAAGCAACACTACCTTAATAATGGAAAGTAGGACATGAGCACAGCCCTGTGCAAAGGAAATAGTCATTTTAACTAGGAGGATAACAAATTGGAGGAAAGCTGGGATGTACACTGAATTTACTACATATGAACTTTGAAGTGTATCACAGAGCTGCAGCAAAATTGGATTTCAGATGATTTAATGGTCATGACTTCTAACGTCATCTGAATCTGAGTGAAACTGTGCATCCCAAGTCTTGTAAGTGGTGTTTGGCAAATGTCTTACATCCTTCTTATCAGATTAAACCTTGTTCTACCTGAAAGTAAGACTTCCAGCTCACAGGATATTTAATAAAATAAATCTTCCCTTTCTCTCCCACACCTAAAGAAAAACTTGTTTTTTGGGTAGCTGTACCTGCTTCTTAGACTGCATGCTGATTTTGAAATTAATAGCACATCTGTCCATGAACACAGGGTGGTTTTTTATAATTCCTGCTTCCTTTCTTCTTGGATTAAAAAGTACTGCCATGCTTAAGTCCCCTTGCAGGTTTCTTCTTTGGGAGTTGGAACTGATGATCCTTATGGGTTCCTTCCAACTCCTTGGTATCAGTGTACATGAGGTAGAGGATTCCTGTCACCATTTAAAACAAATGATCACATTAGTAATTTGCAGTGGGCCCTTGAGAGGAGATTCATTGAACCTAACTGAAGTATCTAGTTGCTTGAGAGCCAGTAGATATAAGAGAGGCATCTCCAAACAGTGTTTAGGTGTGATAAGTCCTGCTTTGAAACTGCCTTTCTGCATCAGCAGTGCAAGGACCTTGGACTAAACTTGGTCCTAACCTAAGTGCCTTAGGTGAGTGCCAAAGGTGAGCTGGAGTGTCTACCCCTCAACTTTCCAAAACCTTCATCTGAAGAATCAGTTTCTCTTCCCTACCAACACCCAAGCATTTATTTTGACCCATTTTAAAACGGAATCCTCATGTTTTTCTGGTTCTGAAGGCAGTACTGCCTTACAAATATCTTATTAAAGGTACTCCCACTAAGTGCTCCACATCCTTCAGTGTATTTATCACTTCATAGTTGCCAGGCTCTGGCTTAGTAGTACACTTACCCCCATGCACAAAAATAAGCATGGCTTCTTTTACTGCAGGTACACTCTTAAACACCCTGATGAATTAGGTCTATATTAGTTGTACCAGTCTCCTGCCTCAAAATGCTTTTGTTATTTTCTGATAGCTGCAGAAAACTCCAGGTAGCTCTCTATCACCTGCTTCTGCCTCCAATCCTACCTGCTTTGGGATGGGGACTTTATTTAACTACAGCTAAATGCAAGTCTGGCTTTCAAGTAGTGGTGGTCACCCCAGTTTGCCTAAAAATTAGTTGCTCTTTTTTGTTGTTGTAGTTGGGGTTTTGTTTTTAATTTTTTGTCATTAAGAGCCCAGTTCATTACACAAGATGAGCTTTGTGTAGGAGAGCCTTCAGAGGAGCCTCTGCAGGGCAGAATGGAGGATCAGGGCTGTTGGGGTCCTCTCTTCTTCCACCATCAGCAGCAGATGCAGGAGAATCTGTTCTGCATTATGCAGAGCCCACATGTGGGCATGGGTCTCTCACCTTCTGGGCAACATGGTGGCAATTTTTGATTTGAAGAGCAAGGCTTAGCTTTCACAGGAGATGACCCAGATGCTGTTAGTTACCATAGTAGCAGTTGAAATGACTACCTGAAAATAGGTTTATTGTGAAGCATATTTTTTGTACCATATTGTCTCTTGGGAACATTCCAAAACTTGAATCTCATTCTTGTGAGTCTTAGGAGATAAGGAAGAGAAGAATACTTGTTAGATTCTCTGTTGACTTAATAAATGTAAAACAAAGGTACGTGGCCCATCTTCCCACTCGGGTTGTATTAAATACAAGATTTCTCTGTAAAGTGGGTGTGTTTGTAAAACTGTCTCCAAAAATTAAAGACTGTATTTAAGCCCTCAAAGAAATCCTGCTCTCTAGGTTTTATCCATTGTTAATTTCAGTCCTTTTAATTTCTTTTTTTTTTTTTTCTTGGCAACCAAAAATGTGAAACCATTTTATTATAAGCTCAGTGTTAGACAAGGTTTTAAATAACAGTAGTACAGCCAAGAGCATAAATGCAGGCAATTTATTCAGAGCACTTTAGATAATAGAGTACTAATAGCAGGGTTTGGTTTACATCTGATTTTATAATGTATGTCAGTGTCCTGGGTGGGTTTGTTACTCCATGAGCAGTTTGTGTAACTTTGTTTTTCCCAGTTTAGCTGCATGCGTTATAATCTTTTTTTATGATGGTCTTTACATCATCTTCAGCAGCAGTAATAATTGATCCCCTGGCCTATCTGAGAACCTCCAGAAAAGCTGCTGTTCCTTTTCTACAGGTCAAAGAGATTGTGGCCCAGCACACTAAAGAGTGGTCCGAGATGATCAATACGCACAGTGCCGAGGAGCAAGAAATCCGCGATTTACACCTGAACCAACAGTGTGAACTGCTGAAGAAACTCCTGATCAATGCCCACGAACAACAAACCCAGCAGCTAAAATTTTCACATGACAGGTGAGCAGGGCAGGGCTACCTGGTAACAAGGGTTTGGTTTATGTCTGCTTTGCATAACAGTTTAGTTTCTGTGGTGGTAGCTCCTGGACTTGTCAGAGGTACCACGCTGTATGCATGCTAGGAGTAAAAGAAGTGACTGTACATGCAGGAATGAGATGCTTTGATTAGCTGAGCTTCATTACAGGCAGCAGATGTGATGAAGCTGTGGTAGTGTGCATCAACTGTGGGCATGCACTTTACCCAGGAACTGCCATTTAAGAGGCTGGAATCTGAGAAGTATGAAATATGGAAGTTTCCAGCAGTTGTGGGTGAGTGTTCGTAGCATTGGTGATTATAAGGAAGATCCATGAAAAGTATGATCAGAAAAGCAGTGGGTAGCAGGATAAACTACATTAGACTGATGTGTTATCTTCATACAGTATCTTGTTGTAATCACTGGGAATACAGAAGATATTGCATGACACGACTGTCTTGTTGCTTTGGTAATTAACCTTCCTGCCCATTTGAAATGAAATGAAATTAAATACACATCATATCCACAGTGTTAAAAATGGCATTATGTAGAAGAACATTTTTTTTATGCTATGATCTGTTCTGCAAAGCAGCCTAAAAGCATATGAATGTAAAATGTCTGTGTACATACACACACATATATATATTCATATATATGTGTATTTTCATATGTAATTCCCTTCAGCATCTAGCACATAAAAAAGCATGAGGGAAAATGAATGAATAAATAAATCACATTTGAAGAAAGCATTTAAATGATTTTTTTTAAATTCCTGAGTGAAAAAAAAAAAACAGTTTATCTTTGCATCAGAAAGAACACATGCTGGGACCTGCAAGCTTTCCATCCAACAGAGAATTGTCCCAGTAAAAGGCTTTTATGTTAATGTCTGTGTTAACCCATCTATTCAAGCTGTCCTGCAATACATACCCAGTCAAAAATGAAGTCCAAGAATTGCTAAATTATAATACAAATGTATTGTTCAAAAGATATTAGCCAGAGGAAGGTGCACTCCTTGATACTATATCTCTAAATCATACATGGCTGCATCAGCCCAGAGAAACCACATCCCTTTTTTTTAAGAGTTCTATTTCTTCTCCTATTTGAAATTCACTGCAATACTTAGAAGATAATTTACTAATATATGGCCTGTGAAAGTAAAGGGTTTGTTTTCTTTTCCATACATATCTCCTTATTCTCTTAACTTTGCTAAAGCCTGTCATTGTAGGCAGCTGTTATATCTACATTAGGGCAAAGTTTAAATTTTTTTAAAGCTTTTTTTCCTCATAATTTTTTGTCTTTGGGTTTAGAATTTCTGTATCTCTGTTGTTTGAACAGCTTTATATTGTTCCTTGTAAACAATTCTTATATTCTTAGTAATGGATCTTGCTCTTTTATTGGAAATCATTTGTGTTCAATCCATGTATTGTTCTATTTAAGAACTACTAAGAACCAGACCCGAATATCTACATCCTGATAAATATTGAGAACTTTTTCTTTTTAGCTGTTCCAGGAGTAACCACCTTCAAAATTATTTCTGCTTTATTTAGGGAGTTTCTGCTTATTTTGGGAGTTTGTGTCTAGCCCCTAAATATGCAGACTGGGGACTTCTGTTTAAAATGAATTTAAGACTGTGTCTGAATCTATTAATATTTCAGAAGAATTTGGAATATCAAGTACTGAAATGTGAATAATTACACCCCAAAGAGACTTTACACTTTGTTTGTAAACTTTTTCAATAGAATATATTGTGTGTATGACTACATATGCAGTTTACCTGTTTAAGTGCACATCATAGCCAGGAGACAACTCAGGTGACCATAGGGAAAAAAGGATCCATTTGAGAGCAGGATGGGAGGTGGACCATGCTCTCAGCATGCTGTCCTCACTGCTCCCCTCTCTGTGAGCTGAGGTAATGAGTTAGACAGCAGAGGACACAGGGAAAGATCAGTAATCTAAAATGTAGTTACAGTACAGAAAGCAATTACTATTTGTGCTTTGAGTTCATTTTAAAAAAAAGCAGAAGACAGCAGATACTACTAAAAGTCTGAAGCTTATTGAGCATTTCAGAAACTGGGGATGTGAAGCTGTTATTCACAAGTATTATGCACTCAGGTAAAATAGGTGAAAGATAAATAGAAAGTTATCTTTGGTGTTTTTTTTTTTTAATAGAAGAAGAGATTTCTAATCATTCAGACAATACTGGTGACATAAAATAATGTTAATGTCATTTAAATATATGTATAATTTCCAACAATGGACTTGCATGCTTAAAGTTAAATATCCCTTTGAAAGACATATTTGTATAAATTTGAGGGTTGTAATCTGTATGATACTGTAGGAACTCCTTAGTTAAATCTTGCAGTTCATGTGGTGTGTTTTTCAGAATCCTTTTTTTTTCTTTACCATCCTGGCTTATCCACTTCTCCCAGTTAACTCTGGCTAGAGACCAGCAGGAAAATGTTCTTTAATGGTGGCAGGCAGGGCAGCACCACCTGAACTTGAGACTTGAAGCCTCAAGCTACATGGCTGAGCAATGAACTGATACTAAAACTTTGGCCCTGTCTTTGCCTAGCACTGTTTTAGAAACAAGGAGTGGTCCCTACAAGTGCTTCTTGAGGATTTTAAAAGGAAGATAAAAATTTTCATTCCTTCTGTTAATAATACCTTTTGTTTCTTTTAAGCAGCAAAAACCCAACACACCCAGAAAGACCCAGCAAGAGTGCAAATCAGAGCTAGGGTATAGTTTGCAGAATAAAGCAATAGTTGCATACAGATGTGTTGGCTCTTTTAGTCATACCCATGGCCAAAGCCTCATTTGGAACTCATCAGTGATGCACAGTAGTCCTCTAATCCTCTTAACTTCTGTTTCACTCTAAAATTATATCTGATGTAAATAGGCTAAATCAATCTGAACACCTACACTTTGGTGATATCCTTGAATACAGTGATAAAAATAAATTATTTCAGTACTGCTCTTAAGATAGCACCCTTGAAAATTCCTCCAAATTCAGTGTAGAACAGAAAAGCTTTTATTTGGAGAAAGTATTGTTGGAATGAAATGTGCTTTTGACACAACATTTTTTAGAACCCAATCTAATTTTTGCTGTGATACAGCTGCTTTTAAATCTGTATTTAGGATATGTTTCACCTCATGCACTCTTGGAGGAAAATAAAGAACTGAGTTTCTTTAATAAAAAATTTAAACTGTGGAAAACGTAAGTCATGGAACAAAGTTTCCTCATACACCACTTCTGAAACTCAGCATCTGTGCTGTTTCTCCCAACAAAGAATCACAATCTCTTTTTTCTTTTTTTTTAAGCAACAGGATATTTATTTATTTATTTTCTGGTTTTCTACTGCACTGGCTGGAACACTGAAAAGGTTCCCCACCTCCTCAGGCAAACCACACCCTCAGGACATTGCTGCTGGCAGGTGGTTGCCACTCTCCTGTTGGAGCTACCTCATTTCACACAAAAAGGCTACAGGGTTCATGGGGCCACGAGTCTGACCATGGTCTAAACCACAGGGCTCTTTCCAGGCCCAAAGTGGAAGTCTCAAAAGGAAGTCTGTCAGCTCATACCATGGCTATAAAACATGATTACTATTCATATTGCAGGCATGTTCTGAGTGTAGGCAGCTTTAAAAGACAAATTGCCTTTTCTAGATGGCCAATAGTAGCTCGTACTCAGACATCTCTTACATACTAGGGAGGAAAGAGAGTATTTTATACCCTGCTGTAACATTCAAAGTGTAAAAATGCTTAAAGCTGATCTTTCAGATTATATTCTCTGGAACAACTGGAGATTTCTGAGTGCTTGGTCAGATTGTGTCAAGGCTACCCAAAGAAAGGCCATTTTTGTATGGTTTGTTCTTCCATATTCTTTAATACTTCAGGGAAAAAATTAACCACACTGCAGAGTAATAGAAGGAAACCAACCTCCAGAACAATTGCATCTTAGGCTAATGACTTTTTTTTTTCCTATTTTGCCTAGGGAAAGCAAAGAAATGCGAGCCAACCAGGCAAAAATATCTATGGAGAACAGCAAAGCCATAAGCCAAGACAAATCTATCAAAAATAAAGCTGAGAGAGAGAGGTAAGTATCAGATCTCCCTTCTTGAGAAAGGAAGAATGCCATCAAAGGCTGACAGGGGAACTCATGGATTGATTCCATTAAAGCCATGCTTTTATGGAAACAATGTCCAATGATTATGCTTGAATATATTTTTGGATACTGTTTTAGGAAGAGTGTTGCTTTTCTCATATTTATCCTATTAGTAAATATAACACCCTGATCAGGGAAATAAAAAAGTTTCTCATACTCATCAGCTGTGACTGACTGGTGTGGGTCTAATCACATTGTTACACTGAAACACATCTGTAGGAATTATAATTACTGTAGCTCAGCTGCATTATGCTTTTTTGCTGTTGTTTTTTAAATGAAATGAGGGCTATACTGAAAAGGGAATCTGAGGTTAGTTGGAGGTAGGATAATTGGAGAGGTGGCATCACTGAAAACACAGAGGATGGTGCCAGTGAAAGGCTTTCTCCTTTAGGAGGAGAGGTGGAACAGCAGGAAGGAGTGCTGGAAGTGATGGGAATCAGCAGAGAGGGTGAGGAGGAGAGGACTGAGGAAGCAGGAGTTGTGCTCCACAGCAGCACACGTGTTGCTTCTCCACTCCTGAGCTGAACTGCAGCTCTCTCCCTCCTTATGTGCTGGCATTGGAGCCCTGGCCAGCATCCAGGCTCACCAAACCAAGGGCACTGCTGCACTTCCCAAAGTGGGTTATTCACAGCACGTTTGAGGATGACAGCCTTAATTGACTTGAGAGACTAGAGAGACACTTGCCAGTACCAGCTGGAGCACTGATCTGCATTACAGCTATTTTAAGCTTCTTCTATTTATCCTAAAAGTTTCCAAATAAATAGATAAAAGCAGAGAGTGCATGATGCTGTCTCATAAGCCTTCAGGGTTTCCCCTTCACTTTGGGCTTGCCATCTGGCTCATTCTTTCCTCTTTTACATTCCCTCCTTGGCACTGGGCTATTTTGGTCAAAAGGCTTGAACTTGTTCCCACTGAACTAAGTCCCTCAAGTGTTACACGCTCCTCACTCATCAGGAAGATGAATTGTTGGAGCCCTTGGGAGCTGTGTGCTTAGTGTAAGACCTCCCCAAATGCCTCTGAGAGGAATCTGCTCCCAGATTTGAAAGCAGGCTGAATGCAGTTCTGCTTTTCAGGCTCTGTGATTAGTCTGATTCAGCTCCTTGAACAATTTTTGATACATTTCATGATGGAAATCTCAGGAAGAGACATTTCACTATTAGGTGTTTTATTTACATAAAATTTATATTTACAATTAATATTTACAAAAAATATTAATTGGGTACTTACCTTTTGCTTAAATAAGAGCTTTAAGAACCTTACAGCACTGGTAAGCTGTAGCTTTACTTGTGATCATCAGATGATTTTTCTGTTACCACTGTTAAGAGATTTATCACTTTTTATATATCAAAACAAACTCAGATCAGAGTGCAGTCAGAGATACAAAAAATTAAACATATTTTTTTAACTTCTTGTGCACCACTCTTGAGTAAGGGAAAAAAAACAAACTTCATTCACAAAAGTCTTGGTCATTTGGTTTTTTCCAAGTCTTCAATCATACTGTCAATGTACATGGAAACCTTTAAGTGCAAAGGTGCGGTAGCCAGAGGAGGGGACAACTGGTCATTAGTCCCACAGGGTACAGACAATCAGAAACCAGAATATACCTTATGAGTTTGTGATTCTCTCTGCTGTAGCTTTTGAGTTTCTTTTTTTTCCAACGAATCTTCACGGACAACGTTTACATTTTTTTAGGCGAGTCAGAGAACTGAACAGCAGCAACACAAAAAAGTTCCTGGAAGAGAGAAAAAGGGTAACTATAACCTCGACAAAGTCACTGGGCACTATTTCTGAATGTATATTTTCCTTCCTCTGTGTTGAGAATCCAGCTGTAGTAAACAAACAGATGTTTGTCCTTGCTTTGTTCCACATACTTGTAGCGTGAAAGATCTAAGAGAAAGCTATTTTAAATTAACAAAATTACTGTTCTTTGTTGTGAATTTGTTATCTTCATGTAATAGATAATATAGACTGTATGTAAGATACATATATTACTAAATTAATAGCTCTTCCTAAGATTAGGTATATAATAGGCCTCTTATGATGTTTTGTGCCATCCAAATGGGGCAAGACAGTGTATACATGTATACGTTTCAAGTAAGTTTTTATTTTCCATGTTAATAATGTGTTCTATTCCCCCCTGCTATTTTCCTCTTGCTTACAGCTGGCAATGAAGCAGTCAAAAGAAATGGATCAGTTGAAAAAAGTCCAACTTGAGCATTTAGAAGTCTTGGAGAAGCAGAATGAGCAGGTATCTTATTTTAAAGTCTTAAAAGAAAAGCAAGCTAGTGAAAGCAGTAACCAGAATCGGGCTGAGTAGAATGGTTCTGAATGTAAGTCATTACAGAACTTGGGAAAATGACCTTGTTCCTGGTCACTCATCTGCCTGGGGAGTTAAAATGAAGAGGTGAGGTGATGTAAGTAATGATACAGAACCAGATTTGTTTCAGATAAGTCTGTGAATGCTGGACTGCTTAGCCAGAGTCTGTCCTTTCAGCTATTCAGCCACTTGATACTTGTTAGCTAGATATGACAAGTCATAAAAGGCCCAGCATATCCATGTTAATTACTCCCAAAAAGTACCTCAAGCAAATCTGTTTCCTTCATTTTGGAACATACATTCCTAGTGACGATTGGAAACAAGAGTTGAAACGTGGCACAGAGCATCTCTGAACTCAGAGACAGTTTGGACTAAATTCTAGAGATGAATAGTAGCATGGGGAATTTTATCTGTACTAGAACACCCTTTCCTAATTAAAATACCTTATTATTTTTTTGCTAGTTTATAAGCTTTTTTTTTTTTAATTGAAAAACTCTTTGGCAAGGCAAGGCAAATTCTAATCTTATTTCTGGTAGAAGCAACACTATGTTCTGAGCAGTTCCCTTGCTGAAAGGTTGAGCCAGCAGAGCTGTCAGAGTTGCACAGACCTGCAGTGCTGCACTTACACAGATGGAAGCTGCAAGGGGAATATACCCAACAGTTCAGTGAGATGGGAGAGAAGGGGTGCATTTAATACCCATTGCTTTCAAGGGTTATGTACTTACTGCTTTGTTTATTAAATGTTCAAGATTTGAACTCCCTGGCAGACTTTATAGGATGAATTAAAGCCATCTTGCAGAGGAAGAGAAGAATCCAGGCAAATCAAGTATTTCCACTGTCAGGAGAGAGTTGTATAGCCCCAAAAGCTGCAGCCTGGTTAACTTCTAGGGGGTGACAGCATGTAGGATTGCAGGCAGCTGCCACCACTGATCCCCAGCTACCATGGCCCTGCTTTCTGATTGCTCCACCTCCCTTCTGAACAACCACCAGAATTCCTGGTCTGTTCCCTCACAGGGTTGCTGTGGGTGCCATCTCTAACATGCAGCACGAGTGGATCTGTCAGTCAGCCTGCTCCTGAGCTATAGCTGCACAAAATCAAAAGGCAGGGGAAACAGTTGGGTTACAGCAGCTCTGTAGCATCACTGTAGAGACCATGACCAAAACCTCCTTGTCAACTGTGCTAATGAACAAAAAATTGATGGGCTTGATCCAGAGATAGGTGTTATCACTGATTTCTTTCCATTGGCTTCAGAGGGTTTTGGATCCATTTTTTTTAAAACACAAAGACAAGAGGGAATTATTAATAGTTGTGCTTTTAACTGCAATGTGATAAACACCTGAGGTATAAGGGAGAGAGGCTGCTGGGAAATGAAGGTGAGTCACTACAGGAGTCACCTCTTTCAGCAGTTAGATGCTTCCCTTACCTGGAGTTACAGCTTCTGCTGCTGAGAGGTGGTAACAGCCTACATGAGCTTGCTCATACTCCATTTCAGTGCAGAGATGAACTCAGCTTAAATCATCAGTGATTAAATGCAGCAAGATCATTCATGTGCTGGTTATCACTTTGGTGTGGGCATGTGGTGGCCTCCACCACAGGAGTAGCCCTTAACAGCTTTTAACTCACTCCACTTTGACCCATCAGAGCATCTTATTTTCATACCTGCTGTTTTGACCACTTCCTTTTAGCCCCAAAAGTGCATCAGTGCAGACCGCCAGCTGGATCTGGTTTCATTGTTGTACACATTGAGGTATTATAGCTAGCTGGATCAAAATAAAGGTGGTATTTCTTTAATGAGAATTTCAGAACATCATTTTTTTTTCCTCCCCTATCAAATGATAAGAAATTTTTCATACAAATATACAATGTACAAAAGTAGAATTATGGGTGGAAACAGCCTTCAGTACAAACTGTTATGAATTTAAATTTGTTTTGTTTTATGTATGTTTTCCCTGCATTAATTTTTCAATCTCGCTTCAGTTTTCATTCATTTAATTTGCTTCTTGTTGTATTACTCAATTTTGACATTATTATTTTTGTACAAACAGCTTTTGAAATCCTGTCATGCAGTGTCTCAAACACAAGGTAGGATGGATGTATAATAAGCAAACTCTTATTTCAGTGTGCTTTCCTTCTAAATTAAATCATTATTATTGGAGCCCTCCTTGTAACTGCAACCATTGGGAAGTGCCATTGACACAGCAAATGCAATGTTAATCTTGTTTGCACACAGATATCTGAGCCTGACACAATATTAACAGTATTTTGTGGTTTAGCATCTCAAATTCAGATGCATATGGACAGGGATGTGTAGAGGAAATATTTAGAGATTAACTTGTATTGTACATGAGCTGTTGTTGCTGAAGGATATGCTTAGAGTTCTAAATGGTGGCTGTGAGAAGTGTCTAGTGATCTAAGAAAACTATTTTAGTGTTAACATACGTATGATTAATTGCTAATGCTGAGAGTCAGACAAAGGGTATCCACATATATTAGTATGGTAATAAGTAATTCCACGCTAAGAATAGCAAAACCTAAAATAGATGGCTTGAAATAGCTTTTTAGTGTCTAAAGAAGACAGGTTTCCAGTGCTTTAAAAATTCACTTCAAAATCCAACACGTTACAAGGTATGGCAATTATACTTCCCGTGTGGCTGTGCTGCTGTTGGCTTCCTAATGATCATTACTCACAAGAAATCTCTACCAACCCCTGTCTTGCCAAGGGAAATAGTTGTCTTAGGCTTCAACATCCAGTTCTACAGCATTACTTTCTTGAATTGATAATATCTTACACTGCTGAGTCTGACAGCACCTACTTTAACATTTATTTATAGAGGAAAAAAACATTCATTAGACTAGGAATTTTTTTTTTTTTTTAATTCTTTTACTGTGTATGGTTCTTAGCCTGTCTTAGATCTCACTAGAGAGGAAGCATCTTGAAAGTAGAGTCCATTAGCTGCCACTCACTTCATGAATTCACTGTGGCTTCAATGCTGCCTTCCAAAAATCTCGTCTTCAGGTGCTGTGCTCGTGTGTTCATGTCAGGAGGCACTGTCTGAACTCAGGCTAACAAACACAGGCATCCTGCTCCTATGCTAATGTGTCCTTTGGAGCCAAGTTCTCCCTCAAACAATTCCATACACCTTAGATCAGCATATGGGATATTTATAGGATGCTGTGTGCCCGTAGTTAAGTCACAAGCCTCAAATGTGAAAGGGGTGAGTCACTAACAAACAATGACAGGGAATTGTTTTATCTGGAATTTCATTTCACACACAGGCAAAATCCAGCCAACATTTCAGAAGAGGTTGTACATATTGATTTATTTATTATGTTTCCATATTTTCATGTTAAAATTATTTCTTCATTACTTTCAAGCTTTTAACTCATTTAAATGGAGAGCGTTGATTAATTTTTAATCATATTTATGACAGTTGCTTTGCTATTATCATAATTACTTTTTTCCCCAAGATGATGATAATGATTATGAAAGTAAAGGGCTAGATTTTTCAAGAAGGCACATAGATCACATCTGCACAAACCCACATTTACCTTGCAAAACGAGTAGCTGTGCATCTCATTGCTTTAGATCTACATCTGCCCATTTTTCAATATGCAAATAGGTGTTTACCCATCCAGAATAGTTGACTCCTTAAGTAGGAGCTTGTACAGCAAAAAGTTCCTTGTCTAAGCAAGATTTACAACTTTTGGGGGAATGTACCTCATGTAAATCAGGTCCACTAACCATTCTTCCCTCTGTGATGAATACAGAGCAATTGCCCCAGAGAAAATATCAGCTTGGTTTGCCTCTTCCTAAACCTGTCCTAATCCTCAGGAGCTTGATTGGGAAGAGAGATGGGTTGGCTTGCCCTCTGGGGCAATTTATTCAGAATCCTTTGGCTTACAGATTAAAATAACTTCCCAGATTGAGAGCCCTCAGGGAAAATTTTAGGGGGATGCTGACTCCCAGTTCCTTTAAACTGCAGAGTTTCAAACCAAAGCACAACGTCTAATCTGTAACTGAGACACAGGAGGAGCAAGTGTGTGTGTCTGAGAGGGAGGGAGGGGATTAGAAGAGCTGGCTCTAAGCAGGGGATTCCCAGGCCACTTCCCATTTATCAACAGTGCTTTAACTCTGTTTGCAAAGCCTGAGGCATGCGGAGTTCAGAGCGAGACCTGGCAGATGCTCATTGCTGTGTTCTGCACGATGCATTTGGATGCAGTTTCAGGTGGAAACAGTGTCATCCCACAGAGCAGTCTAATCCCGAGGTGAAAAACACCAGGTCTGTAATCAGGGACCTCCAGCAGAAACTGTGGAATTGGCCTCTGCCTGGTTCTCCTCCCCCAGATTGGAGCTTCTGCATTTTACTATGCAGCTCAACCCACGAGTCTTGCACTAACATCAACCAAGAATGTGTAGATGTAAGAATCACATCTGATTTTGAAAACAGAGTGACACGGGGCTGGGGAGGGGGGACACACACCCTTGATGTTATTACACACACATTGAGCCTGTTTTGTCTGCATTTCACTCAGACACTGCCGTGTCAAACACGTGCTTTGTTGTGAATAAAAGGTCTAACGCGGCGCTTCCTGCGGTTGTTTTGGGTTGCAGGCAAAGGAGATGCAGCAGATGGTGAAGCTGGAAGCAGAGATGGATCGCAGGCCAGCAACAGTGGTCTAAAGCCTCAACAAGCAAATTGAAGTTGCAGAACAGATCATCCTTAAAACGAGAGCAAAATTCAAACTAACGTTGCCGAGGCTGAAAAGTGGGCTCTTTGCTTTCTTTTTTTTTAATTTTTTTTTTGGGGGGGAGGGAGTGGTTTTGGGGGTTTTGTTTTTAATCCATAAAGTTGAGCTACGGACCACCAAATCTTAAGTTTTACATTATTTTTTTTTTAACACTGGGCGCTGAATTTCCTTGGTTGGATTTCTGTGAGGTTTTCCTTTGTTGAGAAAAACACTAGTCAGAAGATGAAGACTTTTTTTTAACCCGTTCCTTTCTGTATCTGAACAGGCAGCTTGCCTGCGTCAGAGTTACACAATCAGAGCTTTGCAACACAACAGATCTTTTAAACATCATCTCAAATGGCCACAAAACTGCAGTGAAGTGTTATTTACCATTTGTGTTCTCCTGTGTGATGATACATGGTATAGAAACCCCCTGCTGCCAGAGCCTGACAAGCAACAACTCCTCGGATGCTCGGCACCTGATGTCATCGAGCCCACTGAACTGGAGCTTCTGCTAAGCCACCGTAATAATAACAGGAGCTGGGTTTGGGCAATTTAAAATTATATTTCCAGGTATTTTTTTTCAGGCAGTTGAAAGTTCACTGGGTATGTTCAAAAGTACAATAAGTACAAAGTCATCAGCCAGACTGAGCAGTGGTAGCAGCAACTCTACAGGGTATTTCTGCGGTCCAGCGACGTCGTCCACAAGTGCCATATCAACTCTTCTCATGTCTGAAAGAAGCCAGTATCCTGTAAAAGCTCCTTAGCCTGAGGGAAATACAGTGTCTCTGTGCCAAAACTGATCAGTGCTCTAAGGAATGACGTATTAGGCACTTTAAGAGAAGTTTACATCCTACATTGCTTGTATAGAAACTGCGTTTTGATCCTGTTGCTGCAGATCCCAGATGACTACAGTTCATTGTAACTGAAAAGGTTGTTTCAATGGCTTTGGGCAAAAAGTTTGTAACTGTGAAAAATGTAAAAAGTATTTATACACTTCAGAATCACAACATTGTAGAAAATCACACGTTGCCACGTGATAAAATTAGTAAACAGAAATGCTAAGAGTATGTTTGCATGTGATACAAATGCTACTAAGGCTGTAATGGCTACTATATGACCACAGTCATTCTACTAGCTGGTAAATACTGAATAAATGTATGGCACAGACTATTGTTTGATTAATTACAAAGACTTTTAGCATAACAAGGTCTCTATATATATGTGTGTATATTAATTACGTGGGCATTCTTGATACTTGTAGTAAAAGAAAAGTACATAACTAATTTAATTTTACACAGAAGTATTTATGCAGATTTTCAGAATTTCATATCAGGAATAACCTTTTTATGTCCATTAGATATCGAACCAATTTGCTATTGTGTTAATTTGCATGTTTCCAGAGCTTGCTGTAGTTATATTGCAAAACAGTGCATGTAAGCATTCCGCTTTGGAATTTGTCCATGCTGCCAATTCCAAGATGACTGCATGGAAAACTGGTAGTTTAGAATGAATCAGATTCCTGATTTCAATGTACTAAGCACCAATTACTTTGTTGTATATGCTTGTACAAACAAATTCTACATATTCCTATAAACCAAATAAATGAAGAGAGATAATTACGTTATTGTCAGTCCTGAGATGAAAATTTCAACTTCTCTAATAAAAACCTTAAAAATTCAAAACCTTTAGTTTTGACTGTAGTGAATTGTAGGGTGGTGGTAATTATTGCTAACGAATTTTTAGTACGTTGTATTTCCTGTATAAATGTGCATAGTGTAAATATATTTCTATCACAGCTTATTTAGTCAAAGGAGTCTTATTTCTTTTAAGTGCTAGAAGAATTGGGCAGCAATGGTCCTTGCAGCACTACGGAGCTACCCGAGCACAGTGTAGCAGCACTAGCCTGAGATTGCAACTGAGACAGAGGTCAGCAAAGTCTGCAAGTGTTTAAGGCAGGATTTAAAGAAAATTGTGATGTCTGTTGAGAATTCCCCTTCTGCTGCCACCTCTCCTGCAGAGACACCTCCTAGTCCATATGATCCGTAATGTTTTAAAGAGCAGTTGTGGACTGGGAGCCGCTCTCCCTGCTCTCTAAGCTTGGTTCAAGCACTGGAGGGAGCTGGGACAGGATCCAGCATCTCAAACAAGGCAGTGATTTTGATTTTTATTTTGAATTAAAAATGTCTTCCAAACCACGGCTGATGGGGACAGTGCTGTGAGCTGGGTTTGATACGCTTGCCTACTGCAGTGGTTTCTAGCTGGTAAGGAGAAGCAAATGACAGACCAGACACAGAGGGAGCTGGCTGGTGAAGCATTGAGTTACGAGTTGTCTTCAGCTCCCCCACAGCCTGGCTGGAAACCACTGCCCTGCCTGTTAAAGCAATCATGGAAATGGAGGATTGGGCTTCAGCTCCCATCCCTCGCTGAGGAAAATCAAACCTGCCCGTCTCAATTCCCTGATGAGTTGCTTATACATCAGGGAATTCTAGCTTTGGGAAGGCTAGAAAACACTGCCCACAGCCTCCTTTTGAGTCTGTGCTCGCTGCTCAGCCAGGAGCGAGGCATTTATCAAGTCAGAGAGAAGATGTGTGTCTGTGAAACCGCCAAGCTGGGTCCCCTCAGCTTCCCGGCTGGCTTCCCAGCACTGTGAGGTATTTCATCCATCCACAATTTAGCACAGAATGCAGACAGTAATTCCAAATTAAGAGATGAATTTTGTCAGCTGAAGTATTTTTGAAATACTGTTTAAGTAGTTATTTGCTTCTAAAATTGTTTGAAGTTTGGCCGCTAATGTAACGAGGTGAGAATTTCCCTTGAGCTGAAATAGGCTAATCAATTTGAGCATTGATACCCAGTTAAAGCAGTTTAAAATGTCATTCCCTGCCGGGGTGATGGATTCCACTTTAGTGAAATTTCATCGGGGGAAAAGTGGCTGGTTCTCCCTCTCTGAATCTCTTCAGATAAATTCAGTGCAGCTGGGAGGGGGAGGGTTGTGACACCCTCACCTCACAGGCACCCTGCCATTCTTCCAGTAATTTGGAGTTGGTCATTAACCTGGGTCTCTTTAACCCCCGCCCCATTCAAGACCCAAAATACCCTTCAGGGGCTACCTGTGACAGATGTATCCCAGACCCCCTTGGCTGGAAGAACCCCCATTTCCAGGGATGTGCTGCTGCCACCGGGGGGATTCAGCCTTGGGCAGTGTGTGGGCAGTCTCCACAGCTTGGGGAAGGACAGCTTGAAGGGCTGGCTCCACGATTTGATTTGTGACTATAAATTGGCCCTGGTCACAGTATTTCCCCTCAGCTAATGCTGCACTGGCTCCCTCAGGTAAGACCTTGCTGCTTTGTCTGTTTTTTGGGGCTTTCTTGGTGTAAGGGAGTCATGGGCCTTTCCCCTTTTTGCCCTGGAGAGTGGGATAAACACAGCTCTGGAGGCTGGGGGTGAGGATTGGTGCTGAAGGGTTTTTTTTGGTGGTTGTGCTCTGCTAGATGAAGACAGGAGAGCTCAGTTTGTACAGTGGGGCTCGGGGCTGTGGGTCAGGCTTGCTCTAACAGAGCTGCTCCCTCTGGTACCCCCCTACGTGGGCTGGATGCAGGGGGCTGCTGCCCAGGGTTATATATTTATTTGGAGGCTCAGAAGGTACCTGGAAACCTCAAAAAAATGGAAATTAAACAGGGGTCTTGAGGAGGAAATGGAGCCTGGTGAAATACTTCAGGAAGGCAGGCATTAAAATCACCACAGAAATACAGTCTGTTGCAGTCAAAGAGCCCCACGTAGAAGATTTGTGTCCCTTTCTGTAGCCCCCTGAAGCTACTATCTGTAGGTTAATCCTGTACCACAACTGACACAAGTCTGGCTCTGTTTTGGAGAGCAGGAATCATTCTTCATCTTGAAACAGGAGGCAGAGAAAATATAGCCAGAATATGATATTTAATATTATTAGCAAATAGCAAAGGAATTTCAACAGAATAGTTAAAAAAATCAGTGTGTCCCTTCATTATTGGCTTTTATTTTTAAAGAGGTATTTCCCAGCTAGAAAGCCCCTCTCTGTGGGTGTGCCCTGGCAGAGGAAGGGCAGCTGCCCACAATCCAAACTCACCTTGTCATACCTTGCTTCACAAAGCCCAGGACCGTTTCCTCCAGGCTCCTTCTCCTGAACTAGAAATACCAATGGCTGGTGAATCCGCAGAAGGCCACACGCTCCGAGTAGCTGCTGTCCCTTTGGCTTTTTTACAAAAACAAACCCCCCTTGGGTAGCAGGCGCCCGTCCCCTGCCGCTCCTGGGACTGGTGTCTCCGCAAAGTGTAAATGTTGGGATGTGCTCTCCGTAGCGGGGCGAGGGTGGCAGCGCATCACAGGACCGGAAAAACTCCCGATGAGAGGCGGAAAAAAATATCTTAACGTCGCTACCGGGCGAGGGAAGGGGCAAAGCGAAGC